CACAAAGGATCTAGTACAGCGATCCTCCTTTCGGGGGCCGTACCCTTTTGGATCCGGGAGCGTTGCGTTAAAGAACTCCGGCTGTCTCGTCGATCGTTGACTCCTCCTCCATTTAAACTGATTGTTGCTGTTGCTGATCAGGGCCTCACCAGTGACGATGTTAATGCTGTAATCCATCATCAGCAGCATGCGATCCTTTCGAAGCATGGGGTCCAATTTGAGTCCATGCTGCCTCAGATGACATTGGAACTTCAACTGCCAAGAAAATCTTTTCATGCAGGTACTTCACCTTTTTCCCTCAGAAAAAAAAAAGAAAATTTACGTCACGTGAAAGATGAATGATGAGATGTTAAATTGTTTTTTCTTGCCCTGGCTAGGGTTTTTTTCAAAGAAATGAATCATTACCGTTGATGAGGGCATGGAGTGACTTGTGGCTTTTTTACTGTACTTTGCTTTCAAAACCAAAAAGAAAAGGTATGTGTGTGCAATGTGTTTCTCCATCATGGGTGCATAAAACCTAGGAGTGTATAATAGTAATTCAGCTATTTTGGTAGATCTTCAACTTGTTTGAGTTTAGTATTTAGATGATCATCTTGAGCTCGACTAGTTTTAGTTTCGAGCTACTCTGACTTGATTCGAACTTGAAAAATAGATGAGTCAAGCACAACTAATTCAACTCAAGCTATTCGTGATTTGAACTACTTAAGCACACGATTTATAGTTTAATTCGATTACATTTCAAGCGGGCGAAAAACCTGCACTTGTCCGGTTCTTGAGACTTGCGGGACGTTCCATAAGTCTCTAAGTAACCGAACTCCTATATTTGTACCCTTGATTTATCACCCAAAAAAAAATGATTGCATCTCAAAGACGTGCAAATCCCGTTGACATCATGTGCTATCTTAGGCCAAAATCTTATATTATATAGTTAAGAGAGGATGATTTGAGATTTTAATATGATTGTTGGGTTTCTTTATCCTTTGTTTTCTTTTATTACATGGAGTGTCAAAAACTTTCGGCTTAACTAATCTTTAGTGGTATATCTTAGGTAAGGCTCCATCCACAAGGTGATAAAAGTAGCCACTAGGTTAATATGAGCAAGAGACGCTGTAATTAGGGATGATTGGTTCCCGGGTGGGTAGGCTTTAGACCCGGAAGGTGGAACTTACCTTGTTAAAACCGGTTCCCGATTTTGAAACTTGCAACCTACTATGTTTGCCCTAAAACCGGCCTTGGAACCTGTCATGTTTTTCCGATCCGGTTTTAGGGTCTAACCAAGAACCCTTTTTTCTTTTGTTCCTTTTTTGGGTTTCATTTCTTACAACAAAATAAAATTGAGCAACAAAATGGTTCAAAGTAAAATATGAACGAGGGTGAGCGAGGGTTCCGAGGCTCGAACAAGCGAGGGCGAGCCGCGAGTGAGCGAGGAGGAGGGTGAGTCCCAAGCAAGAGAGAGAGTCATGAAGTGTTTGAGTGAGATTAGAGAAAACAGAGAAAAAAAGAGAGAAAAAAAAAGATGCCAAGAAAAAACCTAAGGCTTTTAGGCTTTATGGAACGGTTCTAAATTCGGTCCAATCAATCCAGTTTGCGGGCGGTTCTTCACTTGGAACTAGACCGGTTCCTAACGGTTCCAAAAATTTAGAACCGGGAACTTGGAATCGAACTGTCTTTCAAGGAGATCCGATCCGGTTCCCAAATGGAACCAGTTCGATTGCACAGTCCTAGTTGTAATGTGAATTGTCCTGTTTAAATCTGCACTCTACCATTTAGCTAATCGCTTGAGAGTGATTCCTATACTTTTCTATGCTTTTCAGTGATTGTTAATGTCATGTTCTCTATTTTGTCTTGCAACGGTCTTGTTTGGGGACATTTGTTCCGCCATTTCTACTTCTGACTAATATGACTTTCGATGTAACAAGCTGTTACGTTAAAAGGCAGAAGTAGTATTCAAGAGCTCGCTCATGCGGAACGGACAAAAAAGTTCAAAACCAAAATTTTATATTAAGACTTGTCTCGGAGATGAACTAGTCGAAGTGCGCATGATCCTTATACCCAAAAAGAAATAGTTTTTTTTTCTAACTTTAGGCCGATGCTTTTTTTTTTAATGGAAATACACAAGTTAGAATAATTTAAATATTATAAAGCAAAGTATTACCATGTCTGACCTGGTAGCTCCATTGCTTGTCGAACGATAATGGGTCACAATGGCGACAATATCCAATTTCCGACCTTCAAAACCTCTAAAGACAAGACAAAACATTGAATGAATGTTAACGTGGGAGGGAACACTGAAAATCGAAAAACCACAGTGAAACTCAACAGTCCAAATCGAAATATTTACTTTGCATCGCCGTATGAAAGGCGCAAGGAGCTTCGGAATCTATGTTGACATAAATTGGCTTGGCTAAGGTCGTGCTTATTGTCAAACCCCAACTCGATCGCCCGGCACGAACGGACGAGGTGTCGCGGGACCCAACCACCTTCAAGTCTAGCCTGCAATCATGCGCCATCACTTGTCTTCCTCTTATTTTCCATCCCACGACGCGTCCCCCACCGGAACGCGGAGTTCTTTCTATATAGACAGATGGGTAGGATCGTTACTTAGCATGATGTGATATATTGAATTCACATATAAGATTTACCGAATTTAGAAAGATAGATGGATCGATGGTCCGGAGAAAAGAATTGCTGTGACCGGATCGAGGGTGCTTCCGCACCTTGGATACCACGAGATTATTTGCCATTAACAAATGATTCCCATTTAACACGGGTTTTTGTCAATATGACGGTCTCTCGTCGCATCGTATCTAGTGACCACTGTGGTAACTACCTCGACGGTGATCGCCATCGCCTTAAGACAGTGACGGCCATAGCTATGGCCATCATCTAAAGGGAAGAGAGAGAGAGAGAGAGGGGTCTAAGCGAGTGGCGGAAACCACCGTCAGCAGTGCCCTCTTCTTCCGCCTCCTCAGCCTCTCCCCTTTTTTTTCCAATTTTTTATGATCTCGTCATGAAAGTTTTCTCACCTGATAGGATATATAATTATATCTAGACTAATCCAAACACATCTCATCAATACCATCTAAGTGTTTGTATGATAAAATATATCTCATCACTCACATAAAAGCTCAACCAAAACTAAGATCGTGTCTCACAAAGTGGTAGTAACTATGTTTAGTAATTATCCTCGATAATTGTTGTTTTCCTATATATCCCGGTATATGACAAATTAGTAACCATCTTTTACATAAAATAGTTTACCTAAAAGTCTTCAAAAATCGAATATCTTAGTGTCAGTAACTTTCTACGAGAGTCGTAACCAACCTGAATTGATCGTGAATATTCTTTTTCCTATACTTAGTAACTCGCCTCTATGGCTATAATATTCATTCCTAATTCGTAAACTTGAAGGCGTCATCAGTGAGTAATTATCGTTACATGATGTAATTTATCTTAATCAATAATAAAGTTGACAAAATTATAATAAGCAATTTTCTTCTCAAAATTATTCGACCATTGAAATTTTTATCCTTTTGATCCAACAGTCCATATTACATACGGTATCGATCCCATAAATTATCGGACCAGACCACATAATTTTCATAAAAATGTGCCCTAAATATGCCTTCAGTGATAGATTAACTTGACCCCAAAATTACTTAGAAAAGTTTTTGACCTTGGCAGCGGGCCAATCGCCCGTTACAGGTCGCCATAGCTCTCTGTTTAGATAAAAGAACCAAGTGTGCAAGGCGTACATACAAGAGTTTCTTACCAACGTGTGAGAAACAGAGAGAGAGAGAGACAGAGGCTGCAAACTTCGAATTATTCCTCCTCTTCTTGGTATGACTGCTTTTGCAAAACCCCAGAAGATAATTCCTTTGGACTATTACTCCCTTCACATGACCCCTCTCCCTCTCTCTCCCCGTTAGACGTCGGACAAATTTTGTTTCTGGACATGAACATTGCACAAATTATGTGACATAACATAGCCATACATGTACATGAACACACGTAAGCGTATGGAAAGCACCGTAGAGAGAGGGTTTAAACGAATAGTTTTATAATTTCGGGGTTGCAGAGAAAAATGAATTTGCTTTATTGATCACACTGTCATGTTGGCTCCAGAGCCGAAAATGGAAGAGAGGGGAGAGAGGCTTTTTGCAGCATCTTTGTGTGGAAAGAGAGCGTGAAAAAGCAAAGGTTTCAAGGATGGGAGGGAAGAGAGAGGGGGGAGAGAGGGGGGGCAGGCCCTCCCAAGGCTCTTTTACACGTGATAAAGAAAGCAACCCCAAAAGCACTTGCATGCGTGTATAAGATTCATCATCGCCATCATCAACCCATTTCATTTCCTCTTTCTAATCCCCCCACTCTCTCCCTAACTTTGAATCTCTCCAGTTCCCACAAAGACCAAACTTTTGCCCCCCCTCCCCTCTCTCTCTCTCTCTCTCTCTGCCTGTGTGCGTTTGAATCAGGAGCATCTTATAAATTCTCTCTCTACTCTGCACCTACGCATTGTGAGGCCAAGTTCTCTGCTTTCTTCGTGTGCTAAACCAAGAGAGCTCGTTTTGCTGGGTTGGCTGGTTGGTGAGTTAGTAAATTTTTCGGCTTCTCATGACTTATTAATAATGGTGTTGTCTATTTGTTTCATTTGTTTATGTTGAGTCGCTCTTTGCTTCTTAGCATTTAATTTTTGCCGTATCCTCCGGATAGTGATTTCACTGCCCTTTTCAAGGTTTATTCCTTGTGCTTCATTTTTGTTCTTTTCTATGTGTTCTCATTCTCTCTCTCTCTCTCTCTCTCTCTCTTTCTCTCGCTCGCTCACACTCCAACAGACTCGTCCTTTCCAATTTTTTTCTTTCCTGGCTAAAAGTATATATTTTTCGAAACAAATCATGTTGGTGTTTTTATCTGCTTGGTCTCACTCGATGTTTTCCCAACACAAATTTTTCGGTTTTGGGTAGGGGACAGGATTGGATCCCAGTTTTGTCTTCTGGGTATTTCCCGTTTACTAGGTTCTATGGAGAAAACCAGAGATTCTTTCGTATTTCGCCTTATTTTTTTGGGTCTTCCTGCCTTGTGATTCTCGTCTTCGACGATTCATGATCATTGGTTTACCGCACAGAAGAAGAATCTAAAAGAAGTTTTTATTAGTTTCGGGGTTGACTGTCAGCTTTGTCTTCGCGTTCATGAATTTAGTGCTCTTTGCACGTTTTCGTTTCAGGTTTCTGTTCTCTTTCATGCTGATTCTTTTGCTGGGTCTTTGAAGATTTTCTCAGCTGATATTACCGGGGGCAAAAGGAGAAAAATTGTGTTTTGTAGCATTAATTTGTCCTCACTTTTGCTTGAAATTTTTTATTTTTTGGGATGTTCTATGTGCTGAATCAGAGGTAAAAATTGACTCTGTGTTCCAATCTTGCGAAGAAATAGTAATGCTTGTAATCTGGAACAAAGGGTGGTCTTTGTTCCACCTCCCTTCTTTTGAACTATTGCGTGCCGCAGCTGAACCCATGATTTCACACACTCATTGATGAGATTTTCCATTCATTCACTGTTCTGCAATTGTGATCACTTCTCTGACATGCAAGATTTTGCCTTTTTCTCATATTCTTTCTTCGACTTTGTTTTCCTCTCAGCTGAAACAGTTCTGAGTCTCTTGACATAAGCCGAGGCCAAGAGGAGCCGGTACTATTTGGGACATCAGTTTGGAGTTTTCAGTTATCCCAAGCAGATGCCTACGAGGCAAATGAAAGAGAGCACAGAGCAACACCACCAACACCTTGTCATCAAGACCACCCACTTGCAGAGTCCCATGAACAATCAGCCCCAGAAGTCTCCCAAGACCACGCAGAACGGCAAGGGCCCGCCGACTCCGTCACCTCCTTCGAAGAGCAGAGGGAGGAGGAGGAGGGGGAGAGGTGAGCGGAAGTCCGACCAAGGCGACGTCTGCGCGAGGCCGAGCTCTCGGCCGTGCACCGGAGAGATTGTCGTGCCGAGGGCTCCGAACGGGTGCGCCCAGAATGGTGGTGGGACTGGGAACCGGGTGGATTTCCCGACCTCTAGCCGGTCCTGGAGCTTGGCTCGCAGGCCCGGGTTTGGGCAAGTTGGGACCCGGTGCATTGTGAAAGCCAACCATTTTTTTGCAGAGTTACCAGAGAAAGACTTGAACCAGTATGACGTAAGTAGCTCTGTTCTCTAAAATGGGGTGATTTTTTTGTGTTTTTCCTTTTTCTTTTTTTCTTCTCTGGGTGTTGAAAACATGTCTGCTTGCTGATTTTTGCAGAAGATAAATTTGAGATAGTTCTTAATCTGTGACACAACAGTTGGGACCCTCAATCTGACATACAATGTAGTTTGATGTCATCACATGGGTGTTTTTTTCTCCTTTATCTTTTGTGGTCTTTTACATTTGGAGCTGACAATGAAAGTGGGTTTCAATTTGGCTTGTCCTTTTCAGAGGTTTTAATTTGATTAGCTGTAGATAGATACATCTGCGCTTCAGAGTTTTGTTCTTATTGTTTTGCTCAGCTGTCTGATTTTTTCCTGAGGCTGTCTCTGTGCTCATGGCAGGTCAGCATTACACCAGAAGTGGCATCTAGGACCGTGAACAGAGCCATCATGGCAGAGTTGCTGAGGCTGTATAGAGAATCTGACTTAGGAATGAGATTGCCTGCCTATGATGGGAGGAAGAGTCTTTACACTGCTGGTGAGCTTCCCTTTGCTTGGAAGGAGTTCAACATTAAGCTCTTAGATGAAGAGGATGGAATTAATGGACCCAAGTAAGTCTTCGTAATGTCGAAATCTGTGTTTATTAATCTCTTTATAGAGTTACTTTTTGTGTAAAATTCACTTGGAATCTGGATTGAAAAATGTAGGAATGATAGGCTTTCAATCATTTGCTTCGCGTGCATTAGGCAGTACTCTAGATTTTGAATTGCTTGTTAACTGAATCGTAGAGAGTTACATTGGCGAAAATGTTTCTTATGCTCAAGTCTTGGGCATTATTGCAATTTTTCAGGAGAGAAAGAGAATATAAGGTGGTTATCAAGTTTGTTGCCCGCGCAAACATGCACCACTTAAGCCAATTCTTAGCTGGTAAGCGTGCCGACGCGCCTCAGGAAGCTCTTCAGGTACTTGATATCGTTTTGAGGGAGCTTTCCACGAAAAGGTAAATAATATCCTCTTATAATAGAATTTCCACCTCACCCTAATGAAATGACTTATTTGAGGATGCAATGTATGCAGGTTTTGCCCCATTGGTCGATCATTTTTCTCACCCAATATAAGAACACCCCAACCACTAGGTGATGGCTTGGAATCATGGTGCGGTTTTTACCAGAGCATTAGGCCTACCCAAATGGGCTTATCCCTCAATATTGGTAATTAAAGCAAATTGATTGCACTTATTAAACCAAACCAACTAGTCGATTTGGTCCCTTGATACACCAAGTTGCTTCCTTTTTCTTCTTTGAAAATCCTCTTGTACATCACAGATATGGCTTCGGCTGCATTCATCGAGCCTCTTCCGGTGATAGAGTTTGTGGCCCAGCTTCTAGGCAAAGATGTCCTATCGAGGCAATTATCTGATTCTCATCGTATCAAGGTATGTTCTCTTACATGATGTCTATGAATCGACTTTGCAAACTTGGGGTATTATGACGTCTAGATATTGGAGAAAGTATATTATGGAGTGACATGATGTGGACCAAATCAATCAGCTGTTGAAATTATATCTATTAATAGGGTACTTCTCACAATAAGTTGCCGAGGCACTCCATGATGTGTTTCCTCTTTGAGATCAACACAAAGTGGGCTCAGTGCCTGGCTGATCTATTGAATATGGATGATTATATGTTAATGAATTCGTGATGGTGTACTTGCTCTCTCTGATGAAAAATATTCCGCCAGATTAAAAAGGCTCTTCGAGGGGTAAAAGTTGAAGTGACACACAGAGGGAGCGTACGAAGAAAGTACCGTGTCTCAGGCTTGACATCTCAGCCAACGAGAGAGCTAGTGTAAGTTTTCACTCTTTATTTGTCAGATGAAAGTCAGACAGTAAACTGAAGCCATCTATTGTTGGAAATAAGCTAAATCTCTCCGTTATTGGCATGTTTCAAACTTTTGGTTTCTAGATTTCCTGTTGATGACAATTTGAACATGAAGTCTGTCGTGGAATACTTTCAAGAGATGTATGGCTTTACAATACTGCATACACATCTTCCTTGCCTCCAAGTAGGAAATCAAAAGAAGGCAAACTATTTACCCCTGGAGGTAACAAGTTTTCACAAATTATCAAACAATTTCCCTCTGGGGAAACTTTTGCTAATGTTTTCCTATTATAATCTACATTACTTTCAGGCATGCAAAATTGTTGAAGGGCAACGATATACGAAAAGGTTGAACGAGAAGCAAATTACAACCCTGCTAAAAGTTACATGCCAAAGACCTAGGGATCGTGAAAATGATATTCTCCGGGTATATTTGAATCTATCGTTTGTTAACTTATCACTATATATCACTGTCATCTCTAGCATGTTATTAGTGCAATCATTGAAACAAGAACAATCGCTTTAAGACTAAAAATCAAGACTTTTGTCTTATCATACCTTGGATGCATCTCATCAATCACTAATTGTTTTTGGCAGATGCGGTCTTCCTCGTTAATAAATTCGGATAGAGTCCGTTTTCATTTTGTTCATGACATGAATTCTCAATTGCTTCTATCTGTAGCAGACACAAATTGATGAGGCCATCCTTTTGGTCAGTGCGGGCTTTTTCTTATTTTTATAGCGTGGAAGCTGCCTTAGCAAATTCCAATCCATGAAATATACTACTTAACTTTTTAGATTAGATAAGACCATAGCCTAAGTCTGGGTGGATGGCCCAAAAGTTTGCTTGTTAGCACTTGATGGTTTGGGAATTCCAACATGCCTCACATGGCTGCTCCACTCTCCCATCTTTGATATAGTTCCTAGATAACTAAGCCCACCTAATGGGCTAATAGGAATGGCAAATGTCCTGTTGGAGTCCACCCTGCTTGTCCTGGGGGTGGGGATGGAATTTCTGCCTCAGAGTTGGGACTTCTGTGGCCTCGCCCTGGATATGTTACTTTTTCGTTTTTGGGTAATCACAAAGCAACGTTTGTTATTTATACTATTGCTGGTATAATTGCTAAATTACTCTCTTTTAGAATGTCTTGTGAGTATTTTTGTATTCCTTTAAGAAATCTTAGTCAAAATCATTGTCTTATTAAGTTCAATTTTTAAATTTGATATACAGAAATCTCTATCAGAATGTCTAAATTTAGTTCCTAAAGAAAAGGGCAAATGGGGCAGGCATTCCAAATAGTTGTGCTAAGTGGAATGGGGAGGAGTGTAGGGGTGCAGGGCGGGACGGGGAGTGTAGGGGTGCAGGGCGGGCGCTAAGTGGAAAGGGCAAATGACTCACACCCCGTCCCATTGACATCCATATTAGGACAACCTTTTCTATTGCAAAGGTTAAAAAGAAGAGAGACGTATATCAATATCCAATTTCAATATTCTGGTTTTTGAGTTGGGCTCGATGGTCGCGTGTTTCTGGTATTTTCTATCACGCTGTATTATTTAGAGTAGCAGCTTTTTTCCCCACTTGAATTTTTCTGTTTATGTCTTGATGACCTTGTTATTCATTTAATTGTTTTAAATTATGTAAACACATGCAGACTGTTCAACAAAATGCCTACGATCAAGACCCTTATGCGAAGGAATTTGGGATCAAGATCAGTGAAAAGCTGGCATCCGTCGAAGCTCGTATCCTTCCAGCCCCTTGGGTAATATTTTTAAACTTTTTCTCCTACGTTGCATCTGATGGGCAGGAAGTTCATACGTTTTCCTTGTAATGACACGTACATGCAGTTGAAATATCATGAAACTGGAAAAGAGAAGGATTGTTTGCCTCAAGTTGGTCAATGGAATATGATGAACAAGGTATCTCAGCACCCCTATAGTATTCGTTTTTATTTATTATGAATTGAATATAGTAGGGACAGTTGCGTCATAGTTTATAACCACAATCATAAAAATGTGATGACCTGCGTGTATTGTTATGAAAATAAAGAGAGTTTTTCATGTCAATCAGTGAAAGTTTGTAGAGGTGAAATAAGAAGTCTTCACTACAGATTCATTTCAACTCGCGTGGTGCTTTTTTCCTTACGTTTTATCCGTCTAGAAGTTGTTTTGTGTACCTTTGAAGCTTGTACTGCTTCACCTTGATGTTGTTCTGTTCATAATTTGCAGAAAATGATAAATGGCATGACTGTTAATCGGTGGTCATGTATCAACTTCTCTAGGAGTGTGCAGGAAAGTGTTGCGAAGGGGTTCTGCAGTGAACTCGCTCAAATGTGTCAAGTTTCTGGAATGGTAGTACTCTTTTCCTTATCGTTGGTCATAAAAACTTGCAGAGGACTCTTTTATTATTTGTTTTGATGTTCCTTTCTTTTTCTTTTATTTTGTTCTGGTTTTATTCGTTTTATTCCTTTGACTAAAGTTTCATTACTTTTGCTGTTTGAAGGAATTTAATACTCAGCCCGTCATACCCATCTATAACGCAAAGCCAGAGCAAGTAGAGAAAGCTTTGAAGCATGTTTACCATGCATGCATGAATAAAACCAAAGGAAAAGAACTAGAGCTTTTATTGGCAATTTTGCCCGACAATAATGGCTCCCTATATGGTAGGCCATAAAGCGATCTGGTTCAATGTTGGGTCAGTGAAACTAGTTTTAAACTATAAAACTGACGCTTTTCCATTGATATTTTGTAGGGGACCTCAAAAGAATATGCGAGACTGATCTTGGTATAATATCACAATGTTGTCTCACAAAGCATGTTTTCAAGATTACCAAGCAGTATTTGGCAAATGTATCCCTGAAGATCAATGTTAAGGTGATTTGAACTCCTGATCTTTTAATTTATTCTATAAAAAATTTCTTGCAATTGCTTTTTCCCCAACAATGGAAAGATCTGCACAATTTACTTGCTAATTTCATATGTTTTAATGGCAATTGATTATATGCTACCTTCCTCTTCAGACTTTCATGTAAAATTGGTCTTTGTGCAGATGGGTGGCAGAAATACTGTTCTTTTGGATGCAATTAGCTGCAGAATTCCATTAGTTAGTGACATACCAACTATAATATTCGGAGCAGATGTGACCCACCCAGAGAACGGGGAAGACTCTAGCCCCTCAATAGCTGCTGTATGTATGCTGATTAATTTACTGCATCCTTACAGTCTTAAGAGCATAAATGTTAGTAACACAGCCTTTTCTTATAAATGATGTTCTTTATGTAGGTAGTAGCATCTCAGGACTGGCCCGAAGTTACAAAATATGCAGGACTGGTTTGTGCTCAAGCTCACAGACAGGAACTTATCCAAGACTTGTACAAAACATGGAATGATCCAGTTCGTGGAACTGTTAGTGGGGGCATGATCAGGTACAAGGATATCCTGAGCATTAGATTCTAACTTGGTTAGAACTGCTTTTCTTGCATAGCACAAAGGGGGACTCTAATCCTTATGTCGTGCATTGTCTTCACAGGGATCTTTTGGTGTCCTTTAGAAAAGCAACGGGGCAGAAGCCGCTGAGGATAATATTTTACAGGTTCATATCATCCTTAACCCTGTTCATCATATGCGCTTAATTAAAAAAGGCTAAATTTGAATCCTAATTTTGTACCCAACTAAACATGTTATAGATCCTCGGCTTAGGGAGTTCGTATACAGAACTGGTAAGAAGAGGGATGATCCAATAGTGTGTTTTCCATACTCTAATTTCTCTTTCTGCTATTGTTTTGTAGATTGAGTGAAAAAGTTTACTCTTGAGTATGTGTCTTTTTCATTGCTGCTGGTGATGGGGGCGTATCTCTTTTCCTTTTTGTTTTTTGGAGAGAGAGAGGGAGAGAGAGAGAGAGATCTACTAGCCTATGTTCTTCCAGTACATGTTATGCAATTGTTTTTTATGTAAAGGTAGGTTCGTCCATTTTGATATAGCTGTTTGATGTTCTCATATTCCTCTATGGAATGCGCAGAGATGGTGTGAGTGAAGGGCAGTTCTATCAAGTTCTCCTGTATGAATTGGATGCAATCAGAAAGGTGAGGGGATTTTTGTATATGTACATATATCATTTTTTTTTATCTTTATCTACTTCATACAGAACTAAATCTACTGTCCCTTGGAAAATTACTTGCAGGCTTGTGCATCATTAGAACCAAACTATCAACCGCCTGTAACTTTCATTGTGGTGCAAAAACGACACCACACGCGCTTGTTTGCTAACAATCATAGAGACAGAAGCAGCATTGATAAGAGTGGGAATATTATGCCCGGTAAATGAAAAAATTTCATTTTCACATACCACACAATTTCGCTTCTTTTTGGAAATGTGACATGATCAAATTTGTTGTTCTAGGTACCGTGGTTGATTCGAAGATCTGCCATCCCACAGAATTTGATTTTTACCTTTGTAGTCATGCTGGAATTCAGGTAAATTTCTTTGCTTGATCCTTTCCTATTTATCAAGTGCTCGCTTTTTTCATTTGCAAGTGTCCACCATTATCTTTTCTTAAAAGTGAAGGAACAGATATACTGGGAGCTTCAAAAGTTTCCCCTCACAATGTTTAAGACAGAAACTCAGAGAACAATATTTTCTAAGGATTTTTCAGTAGGAACCAGAGCTTGGTATATATGATCGGTTTCTTGTGAAGTGAGAATATGCTAGGTGAACACTGATTATACCATTGGAGAATAAGGTAACAGGAAGTTTCAATTTTATGGCCCAACATGTGGACAATATAGTTGCAGCGAGGCTGCGATTTTTTGGTGTCCTGCCATTATTGGGTAGGAATTGCAGAGTATTCTGATGTGAACGGGTTATGAAACTGAACCATCTAGGCAGTTGACCTTTCGATCCTCCTGTGACTGGCAATTGAATTTGCAGCCAGGATCTTAATTTGATGAGGGGACCATCCGGAGAAGACTTGCATACTATTTGACCTAGTGAGTAGGAAATTAAAAGTTCAGGGAAGCAAATTCTTATTTTGATCAATTTATCCTTATTTGACTGAAATGTGACACTATTGGTTACTTGTATGTGAGATTTGTTCCTTGGACCTCAAATTGTCATTTGGAAGCAAGACTCGAAGAAATGTCGAGACATTACTTTCTTTAGACTTTGAGAGGATATGATCAAATTGTTTGTACATAGTTCTTCCAATATGGTTCTAAGTCCAAGTGCATGGTCATAGAAGATATACATTGTCTTGTCTTTGTGGAATTTCGAGGACATTGAATTTTGCAAATCCTTGCTCATTGATAGGGAACAAGTCGCCCAGCTCATTATCACGTACTATGGGATGAGAATAATTTTACAGCCGATGGAATCCAGTCATTGACGAACAATCTCTGTTACACATATGCAAGATGCACGCGTTCGGTCTCAGTTGGTGAGTAACCCCTTCTACTTAAGTTAGCCATAGCGCAACAGAGGTGACGATGTAGAAGTGCATGTGATCAATTGCATTACCATGTTTTCAACTGGACGCCTGGATTCATTGCAGTGCCTCCGGCTTATTACGCCCATTTGGCTGCTTTTCGAGCCCGATTCTACATGGAACCGGAGGCCCAAGAGAACGGATCGACGGGGAGCGGCGGCGGCGGCGATCACAAAACCAGAGGCGCGCGCGTAACCGGAGAGACGGGCGTGAGGCCACTGCCGGCATTGAAGGAGAACGTGAAGAGGGTGATGTTCTACTGTTAGGACGGGGCCGAGGACAGCGGCAGCCACTAACTTCCGATCTTCGAGTCTCGGAGTCTTAACTTGGTAGGGATGTGTACATGCTGTGTTCATAAGCTGTAGATGGTTTGCCCCAGAAAAGAGTAGGGAGAAGTGCAGGAGGGTGTGTTTTAGGCTTTTGAAGTGGAGGATGAGAGAGTTAAGTTGGCAAAATAGACCAGATAGTCACGATCAGATAGGGAGATGATAGAGGGAGGGGTAGTTTCTCATCCTTGTAACCATCAGTTCTAGGAAGAAGAAGGGGGGGGGGGGGGGGAATTTGGTGAATCAGACTAGGCTTTGTAAAGAATGTTTTTTTTTTCTTTAGTGTAGTCAAATCAAATCTTAAAGTCAGCACATCTTGTCTCATTTTGGCTCTGTGTGCTCATGTCTTTTTCCCGGTTTCTTTTTTCCCTTAAAAAATTAAAAAAAAATTTAATGAAATGTTCAGACCAATTTAACTAATTATTTTCATATGTTGGAAGATAAAAAAAAAAATCGATTGAGGAAAACATATACAAGCGCTCATTCAATTAAGTAATATTAGAAACCAACGATGGTGCCTCAGGGACAATAACACATAAATTGCATCAGATAGAATGTCTAATGGTGTTTATGATGCTTACCACAACCATTTCTTAATTTTTCCCTGGTCGACTTTGATAGTACCGCGGATGCCTTTGGAGTCGATATGTCACGAGTCAGGGAAAATTGTCTAAAATTTTTTTAACTTATTGCACTTTTGTCAATTTAGTTATAAACCTTTTAATTTTGTCAATTAAATCTTAAATTTTTTTCAAGTTTTGCCAATTGAATCTATCTGATCAATTTTGGCTAAAAATTGCTAATGTGGAGACGACGTAGATAATTTTTTTAATATAATATTTCAATATTTTTTGAATATTTTTATTAATTTTTTTTTTTTAACCCTTTGGCTGGCGAGGGCTAGCGAACCTCACCTGGTTTGGGCGAGGGCGTCACGGCCATCGCTGGCCATAGGCAAGGGCTAGTGACTCTCGCCTGATACGCCCTCGCCCAGATCCAGGCAAGGGTGTTGCGATCCTTGCTTGGTCTGGGCAAGGGGGTCGCAACCATCATCAGCCACAGGCGAGGGCCGTGAGCCCCTCGCTTATGACCAGCAAGAGTGTCGCAGCCCTCACCTAGATCTGGCGAGGGCATTGGCCTCGTCACAACCCTCACCTACACCAAGCCTATGGCCGGCGACTTCACCAACTAGAGGTGTAAAAAAAAAAAAAGGAAAAAGAAAAAAATAATAAACAATTCGAAAAAAAAAATGAAAATATTATTAAAAATTGTCCACGTAAGCGTTGGCCATGCTACCTAGGATGGCCGATTTCCACGTCAGCGATTTTTAGCCAAAATTGACGAAATAGACTCAATTAGAAAAACGTGAAAATGTTTATGACTCGATTGGCAAAATTAAAAGGTGTCAGCGATTTTTAGCCAAAATTGACGAAATAGACTCAATTAGAAAAACGTGAAAATGTTTATGACTCGATTGGCAAAATTAAAAGGTTTAGGACTGAATTGGCAAAAATGCAATAGGTTTATGACCTTTTAGACAATTTTCCCCACGAGTCATGGTAGAATGAATCGGAAAACGGTGGCTCTCTTCTCCCACCATTTCAGGATATCGAGTTGTCTTCACCAAAACTCTATTTATATATTTGAAATAGTTTGTTCCCAAGTACGTCTTTAACTCTTTGCTGGATGAAAAGAAGACCTCGCGGAAGGCTTTGGGGTGTTCTTCTTACGAAATAAAGACCATATAGATTTCTTGGCACTACTCAATAAAGAGGCCATACACTCACCAGATCGAACCAATTGGCGAATGCAGCATACATATTTTGTAGCCAATAAATTCCTCACCATCACCAATGTCCACTTCACTTGGAACTCTTAACCCCATTCAAGTTTTCGTACTATGGAAATAGGAGAGTTTCAAGTCCCCGAAACTTGAACCTCAGATCCAAGACAGTGGACACCAAAAAACAAGCGACTGTTTTCACAAGTTTTAATTGTTGAAAGCGGGATTTAACTGTTGGACCAGGCTAAGTGTCGCGACCTAAATTTCTCAGGCTGCACCACCTAGGGGTTTGGCTAATGGATTGTTAAGTCTAGGCCTAACTCGGGCTCTCTCAAGTCCTTACCAATTCGCGACTTAAGGTTTAAGTTCTTAATATGCAAATCGTTTCAATCGGAAGTCGCCACTAATCTATTTTTTTGGTGGGTCGATTAGAAACCCAAGTAAAGTATCGGGAGAATTACTTTACTCCTACGAACCAGAGATTATGGACTCGGGGACTTGGTTACACTAGATTACTCTAATGCCCTTTCGGTACCTTTTCTCTTTTATTAAAAAAAATATTTGGCAGGCAGCTTGGATTCATTTTAAACCTATTCACTAACATGAGAGGTGATCATGCGAGTGCGCAACCATTAATAAAACACCCAATAAAGCAAAGCAATAAATAAATCGCAAGGATGGATAGAAAATACTTACCTTAGAGCAACGAAAATTAGAAAATCACATCAACAACCCTAATATGATTTCTAATTAACACGCAATTTCACTCACATTTTTTTAGGAGTTTTCGCTTATTTAATGAAAAAAACTAAACTATATGTAATGCATGATGCTAGTCTAATACGACATACAATTACCTAAATGTCTTAATTCTAGCAACGATTAAATGGACTATTCTAATATGGCACCCAAATGAACCTAGACGTGCAATTTCTAATGACACGCGAGCAATGACACATGGCAAGGTATGAATGACGTGGTAAGATGACATGCAGGCATGATGCAACTAATCTATATGACATGCATACGATATTTTTGTATTTTTTTTTTATGGAAACACAATCAATTCAATTTAAACAAAACAGAAAGAAATAGCAATCAAATTAACACGACACCAAATCAAGAGAAATAGTATCCATATCCATTTAAATTTAGAAACAATAGATTGACAAATCGTATCCCGGGCATGAGGATCGGATTGGCCAATTTTTCACGCAATCGCGAATCATATTTCGAGCATGAAATCGGATTGACGATTTTCCGTGCGATCGCAAGTCATATTTCGGGCATGAAATCGAACTGTCGATCATATGCACGTTGTGAAATTAGGAAATAATTTCTAATTTAAAGGCTATTCGGGGACGTAATGGATACGATAATATCATTCAAAAATTCACACAAAATTGTAATATTGTAAACAAGGAAACAATATACTCGAAAGTCAAATTAGATGAGCTTTTTACCTAATTCGAATATTTGCTTTTCAAGTTGAATGTCTCGGGATCAGCGGACGGTGGCAGATCGAACTGGCGATGGATCACAAGCAGCTCGTCTCGATGGTGGTTCGCAGACTCCCTGTGACGGCGGAGGACTCGCGGTGGGAGGCAAACAGCAACAATGATGAGCAATTCGGCAGGGGTATCACCAAGTTGGACTTTGCCTGGACGTAGTATGTTGACTCCGTCAACAATAAGCCAGCCTTGGGTGAACCTGCAAAATCAGAGAAGACCGAGCCAAACGTAGAAGTTCAGTCTCGGTTGGGCTCGCAGCAAGGACAGCATCAAGTGAGGGCGAAACAGCTCGTGGATAGCGAATCCTCGTCGGAACAAAGTAGGAGCCACGTCACCGGGGCCAAGACAGGATGTAACGACCCGGTCCGACGAGGGCGGGGAGTGGTCGTCGGGGTTCAAGGACCTGGACAAGGAGCGGCTCCTGACAGGCTTCTAGGATGGCAAGGGGCATCTCTCTGTCCCACATCGCTTAGGGGGGAGTCTTGGGGTTGCTTATAAGGCCTGCGTGGCCTATCCTGTGTAACGCGTTTTAAAGCCGTGAGGGTCAGTGGGCCCAACGCGGACAATATTACACAGTGTAGACCCCGGGTGTTACACAGGAAGTAGGTCGTGGCAATCATCATGGGACAGGGAACTTCGACAATGTGACTCGTCGGTTTAGCACATGCGGTAGGGACATCGAGGGCCAGAGGTCGAAGCGGCTCCTCCTTCTCGTCGTCGTCGAAGGTGGGTACAGCAGCGGCAACTTCTTCACGGACTGCCACCGACTTAGTTGAGTGACGCAGCGATGAGCGGAAGAGCAACCACGAGGAGGTCCGAGAGCAGCAAGAAACAGCGTCCCGGTCGTGGAGCTCTCGGTCGTGATCGTGGAAACACACGCCCGAGGAAGAAGATAAATCTTCTCTCTCTTGTCTCTTCTTTCTGTGTTTCTCGTGTGATCAGACCCAAAGAAAAGCCCCCCGACAGAGGAGAGAGGACCCACTCAAGATTTCTCTCTAAATTGTCACTGTGTACTGGCGCCCCCTTTCTGATTGTCTGGCCTCTCTTTTTATATGTAAAACAATATAGGGCCCCAAGGAAAGAACGTGATGCGGCTTCCAATTGTGGATGCATTGAAATATATATATTTTTATTCTTTTCCTTCTTTTGTTATTTCTCCAGAACCCACATCTTCTTACCAATCCTTTCTTTCCTTTCTTTAATCCCTTTGTCCGCAAGTTTGTATCCACCAGCTTGAGTGAATCCTCTTTCCTTAATTCTTGCTCTGATAATGCTTTGCTTTCCAATTGTTTCTTGACCCAAACATTTTCATGATATTTTCTCAATATTTCCTAATCTAATGTGCCACACGCGCAACGCACTTGTCAATCTTGACCACTTGAGGAAATAACGAGTTGGGCCAAATCTTTAATTCATACGGGCTTGATCCAATTAATTCCATTGGATTCGGAACCTCTGTACTTGAGTCCATTAACTCCAGTTCAATTAAATTTTGTTAAGCCCATCCGCCACCAGTCCGATGCAAATGTAACTACTTAATAAATGTTCTTAAAACTAAATGCTATGTAATTTAACTTTAATATTTTTGTTAGGGATTAAAATTTAATCCCTAATTTTCTATGTAATTAATCACTAAATGGTTAGTCAAAATTTAGGTGTCAACACTAAGGATTGGAGAGTTATTCATGTTGGCATCATATAGCGGGAAGCTTGAGACACTATCGGAATGCTAAACTCATTAACGACTCTCATTATTTCAGCTGCCACGTTTTGAGGATCATGAGAGAAGATTTTAACTTCTTAAACATACGGGGTTGGTGACATGATTCTCATCCCTTATCAATCCAATGACTGGTGACGACATAGTACATGTAATTCCTAGGGTTATAGTCCATAAATCACAAGTTAAAGAGACCTGAAGTTAATCGTCGACAGCAAACGCACTGTCGCGCACTCGAGGTCAACTTATGCACACCTCTTCTAATCCACTCTCGTGGGTATGTCAAAGGAAAGCAGCACATGCTTATGAGCGCACCTTGATCGACCATTCATGAAACGTTTATCAAGCCCTCCAAAGCTCACGGCTCTTTCTTTTCAAGCCTCTCTATGTTTTTGTCTTCACATATTGGGTTTTCTTTTCGTTTGCAACATCACAATGATTTGCTTTTATTGCCTTTAATCTCAATATTTGCAAATATATTGAAACATTCAACTTGAAAGAATCATACCATAAAGTCAAAGTTGGGTTCTATCCCAATTCAAATTCGATCTAGCCAACACCCAAAACTAGAACGACAGCTACTCCATTTGGGCGAATTGGGCCATTGGTTTTGGTGCTGCATCTCGTTTCCATTTGGGCGAATTGGGCCAAAATGCAAGTAGTTTGTATCAATTTGATGTCCCAACTTGCAAGTGATTTTCCATTATTAAAGAATTTACTCCGATTTTTTTTTCATGAACACGATTTTCTTTTTCAAGAGGAAAAAAAGAACTTTTGAAAATTGGGAAAGGTGGTGGCGCCGCCTCCATGTCAGGCGGCTGTGTGTGTCACAAGATCCCAAGCAAAAGCCGGTTCACCCACTCGCAGGACTAGACACTTTTCTTTTGTTCTTGTTCGTGTTATTATTTCATTTTTTGTCGACAAGTTGCTTGTTATTTTATACTAATTAGGAAGACAATTAAGTTGCTTTTAAGTAGGGTTGGTGCAAGGCAGTGTGCATTATCCAGTGTCCAGAGCTAGAAGTCCCCTATAGGCAAGAGGAGGGGGGCAGTAACTTTGAATAGAAGTAAAAGTATGCAGTCCAGCTACTTACAGCTAGATATCAAAGTAAATTCACCAAAAGTCTGCCTTCAATTGCTCCATCCGCTTTCAATAATGACATGATTCGATGCACGAAGACCAACAACGTATTTGGTCGATTGTCGGTGTCATTTCATGACGTTGTCGAAATATTTCGACATTACCGCGGAATCTTTCTCATTCAAAACGGATGAAAACACTGTCAATTCGCTACAGTTTTGAATTGGTCTTCTCATGACTGATGTTGGGTTTTGATTTTTCAAAATAGACTCGTATCATGTCGATTTACTGTCCCATCGAAGATTGCAAACTAATGCAGAAGAGCTCAGTATCATACATTGTTCACGTAAGATGTGAAGGGATGTTTTGAAGCCAGCCGATCTTAGGGTTTAAATCCTGGCCATATTTGAGAAGGGAAAAAGAGATGCATAACCGAACATCAAACCTTAATAAACCTCGAAGCCCAAGAACTTACTAATCTATAATTCTTATCTATCTTTGAGTATACCATATGAATATTCCTTAAGGTCATCATTATTTCTCTCAATTTACTATAAATTACATATTAGGGCAAATACCACAAAAAAACCCTGAATTATGTCTACTGTGATACAAATATCCCAAACTTTTTTTTCATGTCACAAAAAACCTTAAACTTGCCCACTGTGGCACAAATACTCTCAACTTTTTTTGTGTCACGGAAAAACCCAAACTATACATGTGTAACATATATACCATCTATTTCGAGAAAAGTATCAAAAAAGTCCTAAACATTTTGCATTGGTGCCAATTTAGTCCTAAATCTTTTTTTTGTGCCAATTCAGTCATAAACCTTTTGCATTGATGCCAATTTAGTCCTAAACCTTTTTTTGGTGCCAAATCAGTCCTAAACCTTTTGCATTTGTGTCAATTCAGTCCTAAACCTTTTGCATTTGTGCCAATTAAGTCCTAAACCTTTATTTGGTGCCAATTCAGTCATAAACCTTTTGCATTGGTGCCAATTGAGTCCTAAACCTTTTTTTGGTGCCAATTCAGTCCTAAACCTTTTTTGGGTACCAATTCCAGTCATAAACCTTTTGCATTGATGCAAATTCAGTCCTTCCGGCTAATAATCATTCACGTGTCGAAGGATTAAATTGGCACCAATGCAAAAGGTTTAGAACTGAATTGGCACTAATACAAAAGATTTAGAACTGAATTGGCACCAAAAAAAGGTTTAGGACTAAATTGGCATCAATGCAAAAGGTTTAGGACTGAATTGGCACCAAAAAAAGGTTCAGGACTCAATTGACACCAATGTAAAAGGTTTAGGACTGAATCAGCACAAAAAAAAGGTTTAGGACTAAATTTGCACAAATGCAAAAGGTTTAAGACTTTTTTGATACTTTTCCCCATCTATTTCAGTTCCATCCAGGATAAATTTATGACACCGGTATAAGTTCGGGGTTTTCTATGATACAAAAAAAAATTTGAAATATTTGTGTCGCAATGGACAAGTTTAGGATTTTCGGTGACATAAAAAAAAACTTCGGGATATTTGCGTCACGCTAGACATAATTTGATTTTTTTTGTGATATTATAATATATACTTCTTAAGATGAATTGCTCCGTTATGTTTCTTGTGTTGCGGGATACAGAGTGTCATCTTCATTATTATGGGTAGCCTCTATAGACAGAACTTTCTGCAACGAAAAGTGAACATATTGTCAAGCTACTATGTGCTCGATGAGGGTTTTGGGAAGCGAAATATGATCCCTCCTTACCTCCTTTTTTTATATCTGTTTTACTATAAATTTACTGCATTCACTTGTTTACGTTATTTATTTATCATCATCTTTTGAAACTGTTGATTCTTCTTTCTCTTTTAAATTATAAAAATAAATCTAGCTAGCAAGTTAGACATTAACTTTATTTGAAAAAATATTTTCCCAATGAAGAGAGGAAAATGTTCTCTTTTTTCGTCATTTCTAGTGGAAGAGCACATGCTTATGTGCATCGGAAAATAGAAAAAAAAAAGCTTCGTAAATGCGTGAAAAGAGATAAATATTGCGAATCACAACTTAGGTTAGGAAAGAATTTTCAATGATCGAAAGATGGGAGATGGTCCGACGGCCCATATTGGTGAAATGTTTCACAAAATGCCACGAACTCATATAATTCATACTATTAATAAAAAAAAGGAAATGCATGTGTGGTTCACAAAACTGGATCTTACAGAGTTTCCAATAGAATTTTTGAAGTAATTAATTAATCGGAGGGAGTTTTGACTATGTTACTTGATGACGGTGTCTCTTTTAACTTGAAGCATAGCTTTCTGATATATAGGCTATGATCCCGTATTTTCTACCAAGAAAAGAGAGAAATTTACCAGACATTGAAAAGCAAGTAGCTCAACTATTTAAATTACAATTTTATCCATTTTTCTATGTCATACTAATATAACACACCTTAAGAAAAGTTAAGTTGTACTTAATGGAATTTTTTTTTTTTACCTAGAGTTAAGGTTGAAATCCTCCTTGAGTTTGCTTCCTGTGCACGTATTAGAGATTCCTCGCATCCCAAAAGTCATACACTCAATTCTCAATTATTTCATTCAATGTACGTTTTTTTTTTTTTGTCATAGAAACATTTTATTCATTCTGCGGATATACAATAGAAATAAGCAATCTAACTATAAACCAAGACAACAAAACAACTTTTAGATAAGAAGATGAATCATTATAACAAGATTATTGGTCATATGTTCAAAGAGCAAATCTATGACTTCTTCAAACAAAATCGGCGGTGATCACTGAATTTGTCTTCAGTAATGAGCACACACCGAAATCTCCATATGTTGCTAGGGCTTTGCCTTTCGGCGGTGTGCGCCTAGGTTCGGCATCTTTAACACCATCACCGTGCAACATAACAAGGTTGAACGCGCACAGATCTGACAACTATAAGAGCGAAACATTCACGAAACTCCTCTGATATCCTTAGAAACTGGACTTGTACATCAATGAAATCCGAGGAAAGAGAAACCTCAAAATCATATACGCAAAAAAACTACAAATCTAGACTATACCGAGATAGAATCCTCCCCAAATCGAGAGAGAAACTTATAGCTCTAAACTAGATCAGAAGAGAAAAACTCCTCAAAAAATGAGAGGAAAACAAGAAAGAAAGAACAGAGAACCAAATCAGTCAAAAAAATAAGGAAAAAAGGGAGGGAAGGGAGAGATCTAGCTCAAACCCTCCCCTCGATGGAGGTTGAAAAGTAAAGTTGTGTGAAGACAGGGGGGGAGGAGAGAATCCTAGAGAGGAGAGGGAAAAAGCATTTCAATATACTTTGATAATGAAATTATTACGATGTATTCGGATTTTTATTATGGCATATCTAGATATTTAGAAAAGCTCGTTGCATAGGTTGGTAAAGCATGCCTTTCCTTCCTTATACTCTCTCTCCCCTCACTCTCCCCGGACCTACGGGTTCAATACATATCCATACCACTCTTCCTACTATAACAACACGAATTATATTTTTTCTAAACATAATCCTCCATTATGGTAAGATCTATCAGTCCGTCACATCGTCTGTAAATAAATCCGTGAAACGTCTTTTCCAACTAATGATAAAGAAGCTAATACAGATGAGCGGTCGGCTTGTGTTCCCCCTCAAGACCCGCACCCGTGCACGAGTGTGCATGATCCATCTCTTTCACATCCCACTTCTTGCATCTTCTTTCAGCAACTTCAATGTAGTGCCTCTTCAGTACTTGCTGGTTGTTTCCCTGTCCATCTGTACGTGACAATAGCACGCTCTGCTTTGGGAAAAAGCAAAACAAAAAACCAAGGCTTTGACATTTGAACCCTCATAGTCATGTGATGACTATATATAAAACGTCTCAAAAGGTCTAGGGACAAGAATCAATAAAAAGTCATCCTCATAATAAAATGTTCTCCTTCTATAATTCCCAGAATAGCACATGTATCTTCATGAACTGTTATTGTACCACAATAACTCCGTGTATATGCACGAAGTTACCAGCTGGAAAAAGGTATGAAAATAGAGAAGCAACAAGCTTTTGCGAAATATGAGCCCCACCCTGACCACGCCGGTTCCATGTGATACTAATGGCTTTCTTATGATTCGCAAAACGAAAATATAACAACTTTTCCCTGGAAATTTGTATCAACCTATAATTAAGATATCGACCAAATTTCCCTAATCAAAAAGTGGAAAATTTTGCTGGTAATAGACATCTATACTTTTCAACTAAACATGCAGAAACCAGTCTTCCGTGTATTTGTGTGTGTGTGTGTGTGTGTGTGTGTGTGTGTGAGAGAGAGAGAGAGAGAGAGAGATGTTACCATCTGTGAACCTTGACGAACAAAGGTGGGTGGCTTTCAAACTACCTAGTTCCCATGTGTGATCGAAGTGAGTGTAAGAATAATAGTGAAGTCAGATCTCCTATTATTCATAGAACTCAGTGTGTATTATCAGACATTATGGTGAATGTTTTGTGAATTCCATGCAATCTCAATATATCTTACCACCATCTCATTTAATCAATGGCATATTGTAATAGGCTCAAAGAGTTAGCTTAATTCGTTATGAACATTGCAGGAACGGTACTCAGATTCCAGTAACAACAAAAGGCAAATTTCTTATAGTCATCCTCGGAGACAAGAGGACTACCGCAACCTGATGAACTTAGTCAGGCATTCTATGAGGCTCCGACACCAACTTTCATGAAAAGATAAATCAGTGGTATCAAAGCAAACACATCTAGCAAGTGTCGCTGGAGAGAGCTGAACATAACCACTTGAACCGGATCAGACCATTCTGGCTCAGCATCCACGTCGCCGCTCATTTTCGAATGTTTTGAGCACACAGCTTCAAAACAGGCGAGGACAAAATGTCTGCTTTCTGCAGGTGATTAGCTGATCCAATTCAAACTTGAGAAAATGAAGCATACAAAACCAATTCTGGTTACACATAATTTGCAAATTCAGTTTTTTCACTTAGTTAATCAATCTATGCATCGAAGCTTTTGTTCTTTAAGCATATGCCAACTTGGAAGTGTTAATCCTTTTGTCAGATCTACTCAAATCTGTTGAACAAAGTTGATGGACCAGCTTCGAATATAATGTTCAAGCATTTTTCGTTTGCAGACATTCAAGCACGAATGTTACTTAATTAGGTTCAATCCTGTACCTGAGTGTTGATTGGTCTTCTGTTAGCTGATATCTCCATTTCCTTTCAGTATTTAAGTGGCCTCTATCATCTTCTTTGCCTTGGCATTTTACCTACTAAACAGAAAAGACTTTCAGTTTAACTTAAAGCTAACACTCCTGTACCAAAGAAGACATCATATCTTATGTGTGGGTCTTAGTATACCAAAAACACAAGAGTGTTAAATATAGCCTATAGGAGCCAGAAGACATTTTGAAAACATCCAATTAAATGACAAAATGAGATCGGTCCGACATGTACACACCAGAGATAGAGGAGCAGCTCGATGTATACCTAATTAATTGTCAGGATTACTATTACAGTGATGGGCTCAATCACCAAAGCACAAGTACAGATCTGCAAATTAATCGCACAGCACAAGCCCTTCACCGAGCCTTGAGACCAAAAGTTAGAATCGGAACCTCCAATCCCAAACAGTTGACTACTGTTCTTGCCTCAAAACCCTACACCAGACAGCCCCCAGGAGAAAGAAAAAGAACGCATGATTCAAACCAAAAAAATCTAAAAAGACTCTACAGACAAGGGGACAAATTGATACTGAACACACTTGATTATTTCCTCAAACAGAAAATTGCAGTACAAAATTACAGTGACCCAGATTAGTTTAGATGATCGCAAGATATATATTATTCGGAAACTTCTTGTACCTTTGGAAGAACGCCAGCATGGCCGGAGACTAAAATCTGGAATTAGGGTTTTCTCGAGCTCCCAGCAACAGGTGAAGCTGCCACATGATCTGATCTTTCCTTTACGAGACCAGGGAAGTTGAGATCACGCTGGCAGCTTCAACTGATAGTGGTGCGCGATGAGGACGCGACGTTGAGGATGACCATCCTTCTTCTTTGTTCTTGATCTTTGGTGTCTTGGTGTATTATTCATTAGAGGTCACAAAGAGAAGTGAGAAGATAAAGGGCTATATATATAGAGGAAAATCAGGAGATTATAATTTTTTTGGAAAGTAAGGTTTTGATGAAGCATTATCATGAATTTGAATTCTTCTTTATTTTTCCCTTTTTATGGATGGAATAGTGGGTGAGAGAGAAAAGCTCAGAGAATAAATTAAATAAGAACAATGAAATCAGAAAAAAACAATGAAGGGGTGGTCCCGAAAATGGTGCAAATTGAATATTGTCACGCCAAAAACAACATCACCACCATGCATGTTCGCAGAAAGGTCGGCCTAGAGGGTGAGTTAGCGTGGACTGCGAGTTTTCCTATATCTACTGTCGCTGTTAACTGTAAGTGAATTAATTAACTCTGTATGTGACTCTCTCTCTCTCTCTCTCTCTCTCTCTCAAGAAAAGCATCGACACAGTGACTGTGTGGGCTAAGCTTAAAAGGAAAAGGGAAGAGTGACATGCGAGGGGACCATATTTTTGCATGCCATGAAAGGAGTAAATATTAGGTTTCTGCAAGAAAAAGAGACAGAAAAACTTTTAAAAACAAAGAAAAGAAAAGAAGAAGAAAAGGGTGAGAGCATCTTAGCGGGAGAATATAACGTGAATCTGTTTCCTTTCTTGATTTTGTATATGAATCAGGACCATTCTTGTCTGTTCATTATCTGCAATCAGAAGAATTGGTGTGTATATAGTCTCTTGATGTATACTCTTGACATTCTTCTTCTCACGTCCTGATGTTAGCGGTTTCTTTTTCTTATTTTTTGACAAACCTGATAAAAGCAATTGCTTGTTGCTATTATCAAAATTAAGTTGAACTGCATTATTTAGAGGTATTATTAGCTGATAAATGTGCTTAAAGAAGAACATGCCGACATTCTACTTAGAAGATGAACCTGAGATTAATGCCCGTAAAATCTCGAGTTTACGTGATTATGCACATCGAGATCTTTCAGAGATTTTTTCACCTGTAAGAAGGTCCAAGTCCTTCCCGAAAAGTATAAATCATGGTCTAATTTAGTTTTTCTTAGCACATCGAGCTCGAGGATGGAGTTATCCAAATAGAAAGACCCAATTATCATATAAGGATTGTATTGATAATTGCATGTGTCTATGAGAAAAAAGGAAGCATTTATATATATATATACTTAGCGAGATGGAAGGAAAAATAAGTACACTCATATGACCTACATAGCTCTTCCTGAATAGTGAATACAAATAGTTCGCTTAATTTCAAATTACTTGGTATAGTAGTTGTCCTTTCAATGCTTACAACCTTATAATTATATTACTTAGCGAGATGGAAGGCTTTTAAAACATGCTATTTATGTGGCAAAAGATACTTTTTAAAGTATTAATCAAGCCCAAAAAATATAGTAAAAGTTCTATTTAATACATGGTGGTCGATATTTGAGTTAAAAGTAAAAAAAGAAGAAGAAAAAGAAGAAAGAAAGAAATGGTGGTTGTCTGGCTCTATTTGAGAGAAAGGTTACTTTCGAAAATATAAAAGCTACCTAACTTTCAAAATAAACAAAATGTGAGATAATTTTATATAAAGTAGTCTTTTAACATTAAAAAAAAACTTTAAGCACAAAACGTCCGCCAATTAAAGTTCATCTTGACACTTACAAAATATTATTCTTCTTCTTCTTTTTCGCACAATAATCTTATCATGGAATATTTAAAAGCACTGTCTAGGGCTAAATGAATACTTTCTCGGTTACTTGATCGAACACCTCCACTGTTGTCCCAATCACGACAAAACACACAACGAAGTACCAACACTAACTAAGCCATTAATGAGTTAGAGCAGATGGCTAATCGACTCTAAAGCAGATCCAACCCTCTATATATGTTAATGCTATTACAGAGGGCGTTATTGGTGTTAATCATACTTTGCAACTTATCATTTATTCATTATTATATTCTACTTCAAAGAAACTTCTCTCTCTCTCTCTCAAAAGTTCAGTTTCTTGGAATATATTCTTGTGCTAAGAAAATTTGTTTTTAAATGAGATGAAAACACTAGGGAGTATCAACCCACCTGCGCATGGCCGAGTTGGTGGACGTTTTCCTTCCCTCAGAGAGGTTCTGGGTTCGAATCCCCGCTCGGTTCCGTAATTTAAGTGGGGGGCCCTGGCGGTGCGGGCTCGTCTCCGGGGAATGGTGGCGGATCCTCGGTTACCAAAAAAAAAAAAAACACTAGGGAGTATCGCTGGAGTAAATTTAGTTGATGGAGTATTTTATGTTTATTGTATGGAGTTTTATCTTTTTTAAGGCTATCGCGTTAGCATTTCACTTGAGAAAAACTAAGTTCCATGTTTCATCGCAAGACATGAGTTCTTACTTGTGTATTTATAGATGATCGTGTTGAGAAACAAACATGTTCTATCTAATCATCAATCCCCAAAAAGAAAATTTGTTTTGGAGGGTGAGGCGTACAGTTTAACCCAAGAACAATTTTAAAAAATGGAAATTTTTGGGGCATATGATGATGAGCTTAGAGGAACCAAGGGGGCTCGAAGCCCTTGCTTTAAGGAAACCTCGTTTAAAAAGATGTCCTTGGCGATCCAGCCATGATATAGCAGATCGCCCCAAATCTAGAGTGGGACAACGACATATGATCCTTTCACATGGCTTTGAGATTTATAAGGAAACGCATGAGAGGAGAGGGTCTCAACAAGCATGCCAAAAGCTGAGGTGCTAACCCTAGGGCTGTCGATGGTCATTTCGGTTCGAATGTCGCCAAAGGCCCTAAACAAACCGTAAAAAGCTCAGGCGTGTTTGTTTTAACCCAACCCGGAATATGAACCGATATTATCCAATACGAAAATTTTGGGTCGGCTCGGTTCAGTCCAAGTCGGATTTCGAATTTCATGCCACATATTGATTATATCGTTTTACAACTGTTTGATAGTATTTTGTAGAGAAAAATAACGAATAATGAAAAAACTCTTTTTATTGTTTTTATGAACTTTAGAAGTTTGTGCACATCACTTAAACGATACGAGAGAAGAATTTGGCTGCAAAATCAAAGAAGAGAGAGAGAGAGCAAATTATCGAACTACAACACAAGAGATCGTCAACGACGGCAATGGTCACCACACTTCTGGATTTAGAGATTTTTTTTTACCTTTAGAAGGTACAATCCTGGAGCGACGGAGCTAGGGTGTTTTTTTGAGTGGCGGTTTACCCTGTCAGGGATGTTAACGATTTGAGTCCGCTTATCTAATTGGTCGATTGAAGGTTCCATTCAACCACATTAATTCCCACTTCCCCACTCGACTCCTAATCTATGTCGATAAATAAAAAAAACATAATATGATTATAAGGTATGATAATGTCTGCAATCCAAAATATCGATAAATCTAAACTTAGACTCAGTTTGTTTTCTAGAAAACGAATGATTTAAAAAATATTTCGATTACGAACCGCTTAGAACTGATTTTCCCGATGAAGAGATCTTGTTTGTCACAAAAGAAGAAGCGATTCGCCCGGCATTGGCATACTTAGGATTATTATCAATAATAATCTATGTCAAAATATTTTCGGGGACAATAAATATATCTTTTATCCCTACATTCATTTTTGTAAGCGATTTAAACAATCATTTTTAGGAAAATATTTTTCAAATTATTAATTTTCCGCGAGATAACCACACCCTTAAATATGATTTTTGCTCTAAAATCCTCGTTTGCGTCAAATGTGAGTTTTGGACATATCTATCTAACTGTATAAATAGTGTCAAAGTAATCAAAGACTTAATATCCTATGAGCATAATTCAATTATATAATAATTGTGACACAAATAATATACAAATAAAAACTCCATAAAGTACTTACATTATTGGTATTAATTGGATTTTCTTTACATTGTAGCTTGGGTTTTAAAGTTCTTTTTAAGTGGTATCAAATTAGAATAAGCTTAACATATTAATAAGCAATCCAAGAATAAATTGCAACTACATAAAGGTAGCGTCGCGGCTATTTAAACGAGATATGAACATAATCAATCTAGGGTTTCTTCATTTCAACCTCATCTTATTCTATTCGAAAATTTATCTTGGCGACCGAACGCACAGCCTCTTAAACTCACAAAATCACGTGGTTGGATTCTTGCCATAATAACTGTTCGATTGAAGTGATAGAACTCATGTGAACCAAACAAATTAGTGGGGTTTTTTTTATTTTTCTTTTACGAGGTACCTATTAAAAGGAAAATTGCATGCCTAAGGACCTCAGCACTAATTACTAAAAGAATAAAAAAAAATAGAAGAGAGGCTACAGCACTTGCTTGGAGCCTGCAAAAACCTAGGGTGGTCCTTATTGGATCCAGCATGAGCTGTCACTGCAGAGGAAACATTTACATATTCTCTCTCTCCCGTAGATTCATAATATGGTCACAGAAGAGGTAACAACAAAAGCTCTCTCTCTCTCTCTCTCTCTCTCCTGTGTTGGATTGAAGCAGCAGCAGCAGTTTGTATAGAGGCCTGTTGTCTGCTGCTACTGCTAGAATTTATGGAACAGGGACCGCATAAGTTGCAGAGAGATGTACATGGTGACAAGATCTTGTTGGAGAAGGATAATTTTCACATGTAAAATCTTATGAATAATGAAATATGTTTGATAAAGACTTTACCAAATCATTTACAAACAGTGCTTTCGATTTTCGGAAAATGAAATTAGGGATGCTACGTACCATTGAAGTCGAAACGAGATTCGGTATTCATTCGAGATGACGAATTAGCTGCATAATTATGTGAAAATATTGCTATCTGGATATTTGTATTTCTAAACTTACTACGCCGTACCTTTAACACTTTAATTATGGGTATTTTTAAAATTAAAAATAATATACGAACCGCATACATTAAATAAGTGATTAAGTGGTTTATTATTTTGGTCTTGTTCTTATATCAAATACCAACATCTTCAAAGAGCTAATTTTTTTTCTTTCTGGAGGGAACACATGCAACACAGGCTGTTAAGCACGAATTGGAAAATCATATATAAATTTTTCGTAAGAAAGCTTTGCGGTGAAACAAGGGATAAAGATCTGGAAAATCAAGTTGAAAACTCAAAGCAGCAAGATAACTAAGACAGATTAACAGATGTGTAGAGTACTCAAGCACCTAACTAAAGGGATAAAATAAATCAAAGTTCTACCGAAGTCACCAAATTAAAACCAGAGACAAACCTAGTCCTAAAATCCTACAATGCCTGAAATTAAGAAGACCGTAGAGATTGCAACAAACATTCCTAATCCGAAAAAGTGAGCCATCACTTCAGTTGCCCCATTCTTAGCAGTCTCGGGTGCTCCACTGGAGTTGCTTGATGGTGCTCCACTTGAGTTGCTTGATGCAGCTCCTGCAAAAACAAAAAAAGTTGGAAGAACCCTGTTAACAATCAAATAAGATCTGTAAAATATGAAATTAAGGAGACAAACTTATTGTCGAAAAACTTATATTCCACAGGAAAAGAAGTTGAAAAACTCACCCTGAGATGGGGTTGGAGATGGTGTTGCTGGTGACCTTGATGGAGCTCCTTCTGTAACCAGAGAAAAGAAAAGTAATTACTTCGGCCAGAAGTTTTTGCTTGTGTTTGTGATTACTTACTCTGTCTGTGCAGAGATCAAAAGATACGAATATGCGCGGCCTCGATCAGGACAAACATGATATCACATATAACTTCAATTACATCGAGTTCACAAAGTTTATATTTCCAATCATCATTCAATTACAAAGGATTGATCAAAGGTCTGATTCAAAACAAAAGCAGTTTGACAGCACAACATGTAACGCGATTCGTGTGTGTGTATTCCAGTTTTTAGATCTCGATTTAGAATCGGTACACAAAAACTTAGGTGCCAAATTATTACTATTGTGACCGTGATTTGTTAGTATAAAGAAAACAACGATATAACTATAAGAAAAAGAAGACAGCAACGACATGTAATGAGCCACGCAAGCTTTAACATACCAAATGTATACGAACACCTTTTAATCTGACCATTAATTAATCTTATAGTAATTTGAGTTCATGGGACGGTAATAACACCGAGACCACGTACCAAAGACTTGCACTTGCATGGACCATGTTTCACTCTACTTTGAAAACCTAACTATCATGGATGCATAACTAGTAGTACTGAAATTGAAACAACTAGATTGAGAGAGAAAAAATATCACTGGCCTGTCTTGCACGCTGAGGTGTCCGCGTTGGCGCCGCACGCCTTGGTGAGCGCCAGTGCATCATCCTGGGTGATGTTGAAGCTCTTGAGGATGTCCCCATCGTTGAAGACCTTGCAGAGGCACTTGGCCTCGTTCGCGACCACCTCCTTCAACGGGATGCAGCACGAGGCCGGCGGCGATGGCGACGGCGTCAGGTACGCCAAGCACGGCATCAGCTCCCCGATGCACGGCAGCGAGGTCCCGTCGTCCCCGCCCGGAGGAGACGGGCTCGGGTTTCCCGAGAAGGCGATCGAGACGCACGAGGTGAGCAAGATAGGGAGAAGGATGAGGGATTTGGAGGCCATTGCTGATGCGTAATTAGGGTTTGGGAGAGAGAACTAAGAAAGGTGGTGTTGATTGGTAAATTCTTCAAAGGATGGAAGTTGTTGTAGAGTGAGAAAGCATCAATATATAGAGATTAGCGATTCAATGCGATAGCAGTGAAGGAGTTTGTTGCTATTAACTTGCATGATTATCTCTGATTTTCTCAAGAAGTTATCACCAGCATCATAATTTAAATTTTGAAAAAAAAAAAAGAAAATCCATAGCACAATTCTTACTTCTTAGTAGATAATGATTGCGTTAGATGATATATTTATCGAGACATAAGATTAGCTTTTGAATAGTTTCATTCATGCGCAAAAGGAAGGCAATTTCAATGTATTCTCAGATACCTGTCCTTATCTTGTTTCTCTTTTTCAATTTTCAAATGATTCGAAATTTAAGATCGACTTCCAATTCATATATTTCATCTTAGGCTCATCGTTTCCGATCCTTATCACTCTCAAGTTCATGGTTCTACGTGATTTTCCCTAATTTCTACGTTAATAACCAAGTAAACACCAACACGTGTCTAGATATATACACCCACATTGAGATTTTGAATCTGTAGGAGTTATATCAAGATCGGATGTTGAGATTCACTTGCAGAACTGTAGTTCTTGGTTAGTTGACATGAACATATATAGTTTAACGAGACACGTGCATCATCATCATCATCTTCTTCTTCTTCTTCTTCTTCTTCTTCTTCTTCTTCGAGCTCTATGAATCCGGCGAGACCGAGAGAGCAAACGTTCGAATAACTTCTCAAAGGAGTACAAGGGCACGAAGAATTGCAGTATATGACAACGAAACGCGGAAGACCGGTTTCAAATGGGTGTGTGTGTATATATCATCCAAGTTCCTAAATTTTTATATTGGAAAACCACAAAAACGTTGAGCCAAATTGACTTTAATTCTTCAGACAGGAGAAAGGTCAATGATGAATAGCTGCTACGGATCTCTGAGCTGAGCTAAAATGTGGTGTCTCCCAAATCTAATCGCAAGAGATAAGATAGACAGATAAACTGCTTTCAACCCTCCCCAAGCAATCTAAGTGAAATCTCACACAAGAATTATTTGATACAAGAGAGATTTTAGCAGCAAAAAAAAAAAAATTGATACAAGAGAGACGTACATGATTTATAGATTATTTTTCAGCATATATCTACTAAATTGTCTCTTGGGTTGATAGATAGGGGGAAATCACTTATATATAAAGAGCACATAAACACCCCTCTCATGTGCGCCGGTCAGATTAAGAACAATACGTGGAATCTGATGAACATGGGGCTACACATGCAAAGTAAACTGGGGTGGAACGTGGCTTTAATACTTTACAATCAAAATCCTAAGCTAATAGGTAAAGAGATACCAAATGTATGTAAAAAGCATATAAGTCCCGTACACTTACGATGTGAGATTTTTTAATAATATCCATGCGTAATGGCATGCTGAGACATTTCGCTCTCACCATAATTTCCGAGAAGTTTGAACCTACGCATTAACAATTGACGATGAGGAACAATATGTAGTAAATTTCACGTAAAAGAATTAGATAAACTTCATATTACAAGGATAGATTAAAATAAATTATAGTAGTTTCGTGGCACGGAATATTAGCGCGGCTCAACTAAATGACATAGGTATGGTCTATCATTCAGAAAATGTCAAAGGAACAAAGAAGAGAGAAAAAAACTAAATCAAGACGATGAGGAACAATGTGTAATAATTTCACCTAAAAGAATTAAATAAACTTCATATTACAAGGATTAATAATAAATAAAAAAAAGTGCGGCAGTTTCGTGGCACGGGATATTGGCGCAGCTGAACCAAACCCTAGAATTGAAACCTCTTTAATTGATGTCACAGTGAGGTTGAACTGCATCAACACTGCTGACCCAACTAAATGCCATAGATATCGTTGATCATTCAGAAAATGCCAAAGGAACAAAGTGGTGAGAAAAAAAAAAGGGAAAATGATACAAACAGTCCCTGAATTTTGGCCCAATGTGCAATTTGATCCCTGAACTTTTAATTTGTTCAATGTAGTTCCTGAACTTTTAATTTATTTAATGTGATCCCTAGACTTTTGGTACATGTTCAATTTAGTCCCTGAACTATATGAAAATATTCAATGTAGTCCTTCCATTAATTCATAAAAAAATTATGGCAGTTTCGTGGCATGGGATATTGGCGCGGCTCAACCAAACCTTGGAATCAAACCCTTGTCAATTGATGTCGCGGTGAGGCTGAACCGTGACAATACCTCGGACCCAACTAAATGCCATAGCTACCATTGATCATTCAAAAAACGGCGAAGGAACAAAGAAGTGAGAAAAAAAAAATCATGACGATGAGGAACAATGTGTAGTAAATTTCACCTAAAAGAATGAAATAGACTTCATATTACAAGGATAAATAAAAACCTACAGCATTTCGAGGCACGGGATATTGGCACGGCTCAACCAAACCCCGAAATCAAACCCTCAATTGATTTCACGGTGAGGTTGAACCGCGACAACACCTCGCACCAAACTAAATGCCATAGATATTGTCGATCATTCAGAAAATGTCAAAGGAACAAAGAAGAGAGAACAAAACTAAATCAAGACAATGAGGAAAAATGTGTAGCAAATTTCACCTAAAAATATAAAATAAACTTCATGTTACGAGGATTAATAAATAAATAAAAACCTACAGCAGTTTCGTGGCACGGGATATTGGCGCGGCTCAACCAAACCCCGAAATCAAACCCTCAATTGATTTCACGGTGAGGTTGAACCGCGACAACACCTCGCACCGAACTAAATGCCATAGATATTGTCGATCATTCGGAAATTGTCAAAGGAACAAAGAAGAGAGAACAAAACTAAATCAAGACAATGAGGAACAATGTGTAGCAAATTTCACCTAAAAATATAAAATAAACTTCATGTTACGAGGATTAATAAATAAATAAAAACCTACGGCAGTTTCATGGCACGGGATATTGGCACGGCTCAACCAAACCCCGAAATCAAACCCTCAATTGATTTCACGGTGAGGTTGAACCGCGACAACACCTCGCACCGAACTAAATGCCATAGATATTGTCGATCATTCGGAAAATGTCAAAGGAACAAAGAAGAGAGAACAAAACTAAATCAAGACAATGACGAAAAATGTGTAGCAAATTTCACCTAAAAATATAAAATAAACTTCATGTTACGAGGATTAATAAATAAATAAAAACCTACAGCAGTTTCGTGGCACGGGATATTGGCGCGGCTCAACCAAACCCCGAAATCAAACCCTCAATTGATTTCACGGTGAGGTTGAACCGCGACAACACCTCGCACCGAACTAAATGCCATAGATATTGTCGGTCATTCGGAAAATGTCAAAGGAACAAAGAAGAGAGAACAAAACTAAATCAAGACAATGACGAAAAATGTGTAGCAAATTTCACCTAAAAATATAAAATAAACTTCATGTTACGAGGATTAATAAATAAATACAAACCTACAGCAGTTTCGTGGCACGGGATATTGGCGCGACTCAACCAAACCCCGAAATCAAACCCTCAATTGATTTCACGGTGAGGTTGAACCGCGACAACACCTTGCACCGAACTAAATGCCATAGATATTGTCGATCATTCGGAAAATGTCAAAGGAACAAAGAAGAGAGAACAAAACTAAATCAAGACAATGAGGAACAATGTGTAGCAAATTTCACCTAAAAATATAAAATAAACTTCATGTTACGAGGATTAATAAATAAATAAAAACCTACAGCAGTTTCATGGCACGGGATATTGGCGCAGCTCAACCAAACCTCGAAATCAAACCCTCAATTGATTTCACGGTGAGGTTGAACAGCGACAACACCTCGCACCGAACTAAATGCCATAGATATTGTCAATCATTCAAAAAATGTCAAAGGAACAGAGAAGTGAGAACAAAACTAAATCAAGACATTGAGGAACAATGTGTAGCAAATTTTTACGTAAAAGAATTATATAAACTTCATGTTACAAGGATTATTAAATAATAATAATAAAACCTACAGCAGCTCCGTGGCACGGGATATTGACGAGGCTCAACCAAACCCTCGTCAATTGATGTCACGTGAGGTTGAACCGGGACAACACCTCGCACCCAACAAAATGTGATAAATACATTCAGAAAATGTCAAAGCAACAAAGAAGTGAGAAAAAAAATTAAATCAAGATGATGAGGAACAATGTGTAGTAATTTCACCTAAAATAATTGAATAAACTCCATATTACAAGGATTAATAAACAACTAAATAAAACTACGGCAGTTTCGTGGCACGGGAAATTGGCGCGGCTCAACGAAACCTTGGAATCAAACTCTCGTCAATTGATGTCACAGTGAGGTTGAACCACGACAACACCTCGGGCCCAACTAAATGCCATAGCTACTGTCGATCACTCGGAAAATCGCGAAAGAACAAAAAAAAAAAAGGTGAGCAAAAGAAAACCTAAATCAAAGACTCAGGAGAGCCATGGAATGAAGAACTCGTGATTGGTGGCAGATTTATAGGGAGCTTGTCGAGGCTAAGTTTAACTTTGGCAATACACAATTCGTTTAATCAGATGATTACATAGGACAGAACACAAGAAACACGATCTTCTCTAGGGGAAGTAGCGGATGCCGGCCAAATGGAGTTTGCATAGCGATGAGGATTCTTGGGATAGCCGGCTGGTTCATCAAAGCCTTTTGTGCACAACCATTTTCATCTTGGACAAGCTTCCATGTCTGTACATATGTCGACTCTTTCGAAGACGACTTTAGTCTCGGAATCAGCTTCAAACCCTAATCGAACCTTTTTCGATAACGCTCGTAAATGTCCGAGGCTCCGTTGGTTTCATGGAGAATGAATAATTTGGAATATATTTGTATCGATTAGAAAAATGAACGAATGAAAGATATTTTCATCGTTTAGGGAGATATTTAGACAAAAATTATTATCGATTATGAAAATACTTTTCATTAGCTGATTATTTCAAGCGATACAATGGATTATTTTTAGGAAAATATTTTTCGAATTAATTATTTTTCGTAAAATAAACGGAGCCTAAAAGTTAATTATGATTTAACTCATGAAATTTAGAGGTTTCTTCTCGATTTACGCCCTTTGTATTTCATTCGTTTCTTCTTCTTCTTCTTTTTTGTGGGGGGGCGGAAGACCGAGGGCAAAGTTAAGTCAATATGTTTTATAATAGATGGTCAAAGTTGACTCGGTCACGTCCATTTCGAGGGTGAATTGTCCTAACTTTGGACCCTCAATTTGGTGGTATAGTTGAGCTTTTTAGCTAATGTTCTGATTTCAGCTATGGATGCAATCGTACTAGATTGTGAGGACCAGTAGGTGTTTCAAAATAAAGCGGTTCGGCTTTCAACAATCGCCCGAACTCTTGTTCGGATTGTGCGACAACATCATGTTCGGAGATGAAGTATGCAGCCGACCGCAAAAATTCGAGGTAAATCGAGATGATTTTCGTCAGAACATAGGAACTTATAGGGGAGAAAATTCAAAGAAGAACACAAGGGTCAAAGGGGTGCCAAGAATTGGAGGCTCTAATTAGGGTTAGGACTAGAAAAAGGGCACGACCATAGAGATTGGGCCTAAGTTTCAATTCGAGCTCAGCCCAATCCAAAGGCAAAGCAAGAGAGCCCAAAACATCACGGGCCGATCGAACCATGGTATCGGGCTAACTCAATCACCAGTGTCCAACTTAATTGGACAATTTAGGCTTTTGTTTGTTTGAGGGAAAGTGTTTTCACGGAACGAACTTTCACCTGTTTAGTTTGCCGGAAATGATTAATCAATCCAAAATTATTTATGCATAAAATTAGGAAAGTGAATTCCTAAATCTATCTGACCAAACAAAAAAAAAGAATTCATAAATCTAAGAAGGTGAAAATAATTTCCGGAATTAATCCTCTTGAATCTTTTAATTTTTTTCTTTTTTCTTTTTTTATTTCTATCTTCCTCCACCGGTTGCCGGGCCTTAGTGACGACTAGTGACCGGCCACAAGCACGGGCTAGTGAGGGCTGGTCTTGAGCAAGGATCGAGCTCGCCGCGGCGAGGTCGAGCTCATTGGGATCTAGCGAGGTCGAGCATTGCCATATCCCGGCCCGAGGCCGATCAAGTCTACCCTTGCCAGTGGCCTTCGTGGCTATCGTCGAGCCTCGGCGACCAATGGAGGAGGAAGAAGGAAAAGAAAAAAAAGAAAAAATAAATTATTAAAAAAAATCAAAAGGAGAAATTTCAAAAAGTGTTTTTACTTTCTTAGATTTAGGAATTCACTTTCCTAATTTTATGCATGAATATTTTCCTTGACTGGAAAAGTGTTTTCAGTCGACTAATCATTTTCAACAAACCAAACAGGTAAAAATTCGAAAAATTAATTCCGGGAAAACACCTTCCCTCAAACAAACGGAGCCTCAACATGTAATTTGCACCAAGGTAAAGCCAAAAGCAGTGACTGACCCAAGAAATAAAGGTTGTTCGTTTGTGTCTTGTGTGTTGATGTTGATTGACTCGATTTAGCAAAACAAGAAATTATGTAGTGATTTTCAGCCTATCAATGCCATTGAAAAGAACAAGAAGAATAAGCAAAAAATGAAAGGGAGGATTGAGCTGTCTCTTGTGCAAAAGGAAACAAAACTTCACACTCCCTCTCCAGCAACACTTTGGTGTTGCCGCCTTGAGTTCTCATTGCAGCCTCTCGCCTTTGTCCTTCGCAAAGTCCCTTGAATTCTTCTATCATTTTAACCGTCAAATGTTGTCTCCATTAGACAAACTTTAACCTGTCCTCATTGGTATAATCATTCCCCCACACTCGCTCAAAGTCTCACAACTTGCAGCCCCTTAAAAGACCTCTTCCCGCTAGCAGTGTCTTTGTGCAAGGGAGGCCCAGCAATTCCTCCCACCACAACAATGGCTAGGGACGCACAGAACGACACGAACCGGAGCCTCGAGACACTGCTGGACATGGACAAGTCCGTGGCCAGGAGCAAGAGCACCGCGCCGCCCCTGAGGAAGATGGTCCCGGGCCATGGGCTCGAGTTCAGCGGCCTCTCCTACAGTATCATCAAGAAGCAGAAGAAGGACGATGTGTCCGTCATGAAAGAGGCGTACCTCCTCAACGACATCTCGGGCCAGGCGATGAGGGGCGAGGTCATGGCGATCATTGGGCCCAGCGGGGCGGGGAAGTCCACGTTCCTTGACGCGTTGGCAGGGCGGATCGCGCAGGGGAGCCTCCAAGGTTCAGTCAGGATTGAAGGTAAACCGGTGAGTCGCGCTATGGGAGATGATCATTTTCATTACTAGTCACGATATGCTTTTATTAGGAACAGATTACGTTGTGATAACTGATGTTGATGAGATGGTCGTTGACAGATTACTACTAGCTACATGAAGATGATCTCATCCTATGTGATGCAAGATGATCAGCTCTTTCCGATGTTGACCGTCTTCGAGACGTTCATGTTCGCTGCTGAGGTCAGGCTTCCTCCTTCGATCTCCAGGGCTGAGAAGCAGAAGCGCGTCTACGATCTCCTCGATCAGCTTGGCCTACAGGTACATATCCTATGCGCACTTCACGTACTTGATGTTGTTCACAATCCGACTAAGACAGAATATGACTTATCAAGACAAAAAGAACGGTTCGCTTCGATTCGGCTTTGTCGGAATAGATGGGAGGTTTGCTGTGAAAGAGGAAATCTTGAATCAGAATATTGAAGAAGACAAAGCAGTATTGCATATTTGTAAGATAAGATCTAAACAGTCATCAGTGCATACTATACTACATATGCCAGCAAGTTGGAATTATAGAATCGACATACATAGCGAAACCGAGTTTCATGTTCAACTGCATACTCGGTCGAAATTTTCACGCAACTCAGCCTTTTGTTTTCACAGAGCGCGACTCATACATATATCGGTGATGAGGGAAGGAGAGGAGTGTCGGGAGGGGAGCGTCGAAGGGTTTCCATAGGAATCGACATCATCCATAAGCCGTCGCTGCTGTTTCTCGATGAGCCTACCTCCGGTTTGGACTCCACAAGCGCCTACAGCGTCGTTGAGAAGGTGAAGGACATAGCTCGAAGCGGTAGCATTGTGCTCATGACCATCCACCAGCCTTCCTATAGGATTCAATTGCTCCTGGACCGCATCACAGTCCTGGCAAGGTAACGACATCAGTCTCGCAATGTTGCAGCTTCAAATTATGCACACGGTCGACTAATTTGTTACGAATACGTGTGATGTGATCACAGGGGAAGGTTGATATATATGGGGAATCCTCTGGCGCTGCCTGATCACCTTTCCGGATTCGGAAGGCCAGTTCCCGAGGGCGAGAACAGCCTCGAGTACCTCCTAGATGTGATCAAGGAGTATGACGAGTCGACCATTGGCCTCGATCCGCTTGTGCTGTATCAAAGAGATGGCATCAAACCTACCCAAGAAGCTAGGACACCAGTCCGAAAGACACCAAAACGTCCCAAAACACCTAAGACTCCGCGGACTCCGCACGGACACACCCCCAGTTCAAAGCTCAATCTCCGCTCTCAGACCTACACTCCTAAAGGACAGAAGACTCCTCGATCCGACTCTGATCAGTTTGACTACTACGACGACGACGACGACGACGAATTCGACAACTCACTGGAGCGCAAAGTAGTGCAGACGCCAATGCACATGCAGAGCGGTGTGCACCCGAGATTGGCGTCCCATTTTTACAAGGACTTCTCCGTCTGGCTCTACAATGGTGTGAAGGGGACGCCACGGCGCCCGCCATCCTGGACACCTGCGAGGACTCCTGGGCGGACGCCTGGAGGTAAGACGCCGATGTATGGCCCACAGAGTCAAATCTCAAGCCAGTACCCGACTCCTCAGCGTAACCCTCCTCGCCCCAAGACCCCGCTGGTCTTCAGCCCCGTGCCTGACCTATCTTACGCTACTTCCTACGAGGAGTTTGAGATGGAAGTCCTCGACGAGCCCGATCATGGTCAGAAATTCGCGAATCCATGGCTGCGTGAGGTCACGGTCCTGTGTTGGCGCACTGCTCTTAATGTGATTCGCACGCCGGAGCTCTTCCTCTCGCGCGAGATCGTCCTTGCTGTCATGGCACTGATCCTATCCTCCCTCTTCAAGAACCTTCACCACAGCGACTTCAAAACCATCAACCGCCTCCTCAATTTCTACATTTTCGCTGTCTGCCTGGTTTTCTTCTCCTCTAACGATGCCGTCCCGACCTTCATCCAAGAGCGGTTCATCTTCATTCGAGAGACGTCCCACAACGCATACCGAGCTTCATCCTACGTCATCTCATCTCTCATCGTATACCTCCCCTTCTTTGCCGTCCAGGGCTTCACATTCGCAGTTATCACTCGGTACATTCTTGAACTTCGAAGCAGACTTTTCTACTTCTGGATGATCCTGTTCGCCTCCCTGATCACTACCAATGCTTACGTGATGCTCGTGAGCGCGCTCGTCCCGAGCTACATCACGGGATATGCTGTCGTCATAGCAACCACAGCTCTCTTCTTCCTCACCTGTGGCTTCTTCTTAAAGAGACCACAAATACCACCGTATTGGAGGTGGCTCCATTACATCTCCGCCATAAAGTATCCATTCGAGGCACTGCTAACAAATGAATTCAAAGGGGCTCACTGCTACACAGGCAATGCAACAGATCTCTCGCCAGGTCCGTTGGGAGAAATCAAGCATAGCAAACTGCATCCGAATAACGGTACTTCTGGCGGAAGTTGCCCTCTGGTGGGACAGGACGTTCTGTCCACCATGGGCATTGATATAACGAACATCTGGTATAACATCGGTATCCTGCTGGCGTGGGGAGTCCTTTACAGGCTCCTCTTCTATGTGGTCCTGAGATTCTATTCCAAGAACGAGAGGAAGTGAATATTTCTATTTTGGTAATGCTCCTGTGTTCTAAGCCATGCTATTCCTTAAAATATACTTTGAAATATATAGTCATTCAAGATACTGGCACTGCCCATAAGTGTAGAATGATAAAAAACAGGACCGATTCTATATGTTATTCGTGATAAGCTTTTGCTATAAATGAAACTAAGCTACGTTTCTCTTGCACACATTATTCTCATGCAATATGTGCTACCGTGCATGTTCGGAATAAAAGAACAGGGGACCGTGCAGCGAGCTTCGAATCTGGAGAAGAATTCCTCAATCATGTTCAAAGAGTTGACAGTCACAACTGGCTGTAGCCAAGTTAATCTCATAGTTCAGCACCTCTGTTTGTCAGCGTCATAAGAGGAGACGGGGTTAATTATCTCGGGGTCATTAAGCTAATAATTATTCATTACCAGACATGTTTCGGTCTGGTAGTAATCCTCAATTAAAGATTATCTATCAGATAAATCTCGCTCATATTTTCCAATTACCTAAGTGGGTCTAGACCTGCAAAACAAAACATTTAGGGTAAGTCGCTTCATCCATGCTTTCATTCAGGGTTAAGACGAGTAGAGTAATAGAAGAGGACCGAGAGGATACCATAGGCATGTATAACTCAAGAAACCACACCAAACACAGTTTTTGAGTCGCAAATATGTCATTTTTACCCCAACCCACACAATTCAACACACCTCTCACCCTACAGCAGGACAAAAACCAGTATGTATACCTTCCATGTTGCAAACACGGGTTACAGGGCCAAGTTTCTCACTTTTCACATCCCCAAAATCAGCCTCCATGCTGCGCTATCTTCCTCTCAAGGGCGCCCTTATCAGCACCAACTAGCTTGTCGACCTCTTTGCCATCTCTCACGAAGAAGAAAGAAGGGACGTTGCTGATATTCCAACTGGCAGCCACATCCCTTGCCTCATCAATGTCGACTTTGAGGAATACCACTTTCGGGTATTTTGCGGCTAGGCTAGTAAAAAGAGGAGAAATGAAGCGGCAGGGCCCACACCAGGTAGCAGTGAAGTAAAGGATGGCCAGGCGGGATGTTCTTGAAGCAGCATTCAATTTGGAATCCAGTTCAGGATGAGAGTGGATGCCAATTACTTGCCCTGTCAAGAGCAAGAACCAAAAAAAACAAAGAAAAAAAGAAAGAGCAAGAACCATATCAATGTTACGTTCCAAGAAAATTGATCAGAGGAATCATCACGATCAGTTTGCTCATGAGGAAAGAAATTTTGGGGAACTGCTCTTATGAGTGTACAGCAATCTCCAACCACAGGTCGAGTACACTTTATCACAAAAAATAGGTGCTGGGAAAAAAACACTAGAATTGTCTGAAAATGACAAATTAAAAACAAGAAGAAAATCCGGTCTCAGGTTTTAGTTTGCAATTAATCCTTTCAAGTGGAGTCCTAATAAGCATTAAATAATGAAGGATGCCAGTGATAAATTAGATATAAAACATAACAATGATGCTCACCATCCTTGAGAGCGGTTGAAGCGTCCGACTCCTGCAACAAGTGAAAAATAATCCTAAATTTCAGAGTAAGAGCAAAGGTGAAGGTTATGCAACTCTAGAGGACTCGAAGGGACTTGCATATTCACTTTCAACTCAATTGACAATCTCATGACTCTCATCAAACCCCAAAAGGTAAGTCAAAGAAATAGCCATGCGCAAACAGACTCAGCAAGGGGCATGGAAAAGCCAACAGTTTCGCTTGCTTTTGGACCCCGACAGCAAGGTCATGATACCACTATTGCTACTACTGCACATGGACCACAAGCAAAGCACTGTAGAAATTGAGGACACAAAGCTATGGTTGAGTTAGCCCCGACCATGATCATTTCTTAAGTACTAAGGATCAATTAACGAGGCATATGAAAGATTACGTGAAAATAAAATCCCAAATAGAAAAAAAGTATGTATTGTCATCTCACTTCAGCAGTGCGCTGGCGTTGCCGCTCACGTTCAGCCTTTTTTCGCTCCTTCTCTTTACGCAAGCGTTGATACTTTCTGCGATGCTCTTCTATTTTGCGGGCATTGGGTTCAACCTGCAAATCCATACGGAATCTTAAACATAAATCCCTCAGCAGCTCAAGCGTCTCAACTCTAAAGGAGTCGGAGAGTACAGTACCTTCTTGAGCACCATGCTAATTTCCTCGTCATGATCTATATTTGAAGCTACATGCAGATCACTGGCTGCTTCCTCCCACTTACCCAGTATGGCCCTCGCCATCCCTCGTGCTTTGTATCCTTTTGCTGAGTCAGGGTTAATCTATGAAAAAGATAGAGGAGCTTCATCACTCCAATTCAGACACATAAGAAACATCCACAAGTCACGCTCATCCAAATGCAAACCTAAGCAGTAAAGCTGAATCACCAAAAAGTCTATGAACACCCACCTGTAAAGCTGCCTCTGCATCACGAATAGCAGCATTTGGCTTCTTCAATTTGACAAAGACGCTAGCTGGATGGAAAAAAGAGAACTGCTAAGGAGAAGCCACCAAGCCACACGTATACTGAGACTGCACTATTCAGTATAAACGCATGGGAATAGATGTTACCTCTAGTCGCATATAGTATTGCTGAACCTGGATTCAACATGATCGCCTCTGTTAGGTGTTCTATGGCTTCATCCAGCTTACCTGGGAAGTACAAGCAATTTAAACAGACAGATAATTCTCCAGCAAGAGCACTTGAGGAATTTTAGTTAAAAAGCCCAAATAATGTTAGCTTAAATATCATGCCTTCTGACATTGCATTCACAGCTTTTAATTTTTCCATTTGTGCGGCGTCCTGCTTTTCTTCTGTGACTTCGATAGAAGGGTTTCCCATCTGTAATTAGAAAATCTGCACATTCACTTTTCTACAGAGGAGAATCCTAAAGCTGCTTCTCCCGGAAATCTTTTCCACCGCTCACCTTTTGCGGAGGATCATCATCAGGTGCTACGGTGTCAGATTCGTCTAATTCAATATCAGATTCAACAAAGCTATCATCATCATAATCCATTTCCAAATCAGTTTTGTTCGCATCAGACCCCGAGCCTGGCATGCCACGGCTCTCCTGTCACATTGAGAACTAGATTATTGCAAGCATGAAGAGAGAGATTACGAATTCAAGCACTCTTTCAAGTACACAAAGCCAAAAATCAAGAAAACTGTCATGCAAATTCTTCGAGACACAGTATGATTGGCTATATAAAAAGTGCTAATGCAAGTGACGAACCACATGCGGGTCGATGCAGGCATTAGACCAGGTTGCAATTTCAATTCCCCGAGGGAGATTTTTATCAGCTCGCCCGAAGCTATGGTCCATCTAAAGAGTTTGCCAGTTCAGATTTAAGTTCAGTAACTTTAGGTGTCTTAGTAGAAACCTGGATTATTTTGGCACAAAAATATATGACTTCTTCCGAAAACTATGACCATTACATCCAAAAGAACTTAACTTTGCGGTTGCTCAATGTCGTAGTTTCTCCCAAGCTTTCTTTACTTTTGTTAAACCTCGACCTGATTCTGAACGCCAATTTTATGAATCCAAAGTACCTTTCTTAACGGCATGCTCCAGTCATATCATATGGTCCATATATAAAGTCTTTGAATAGTCAAATACTTTTGCCTTTCTTGTGATTGGAAAACTACGCGTCAATTGCATTTCATTTTGCTTTCCCGTCGACTAATTCTTCCACCGATCATTTCGAGGTCAAACATTTTTCCCAACTCGCCAACTTTCTGCGAAATAAAATGCACCCCAGATGCACAATTCTCATTCTATTCAGCAAGCAAACGTACGAACACCCAGCAAACCGAAAAACGTGTGGTCGATGCAGCCAATTATACTAGAGAGACAGCACTTCCTGGCCAGCGAGTACACGAAAGAACCGTGTAAAGAGCGAGCATTTCAGGAGCAAGTTTCTCACTGATTTCGCGGCGGGCGGGATTCGAGCACCTAAGCTGCAAACAAAACACGCCACGTTCTTGAAACAATTCCCAAACACAGAAAAGAGAGAGAGAACATGTCGCACGGCAGGCAGGCTGAAACGTACTGACATGCTCCGTAATGATACAAATTGTGGATTCCCTTTCGGGCTTATCTATCTACTACCCAGCTGACCATCCAGCATCAGCAGCCTCGCTGAGCGATCGACCGATTCAGAACGGCGGGGGAAAAAAAACACACAAACGCGAGAGCGCGCGCGCCCCCCCGTACGGGGACGCTCGAGACACGGTACCTCTGAAGGTAGGACTTGAAGAAGGCGAGCGAAGGATCGTGGAGGATGGAAGGATCCGACCTGCACTGGCGGATGAAGTACCGCAGCTCGTCTATCTTCTCCGTCTCCATCTCCATCGCTCTCGCTCTCTCTCTTCTCTCTCTCGCTCTCTCTCTCTACTGTGTTCTGGCGGTGTCGAGCGACGGAGGAAGAAGTGCGGGAGACGCGCCGCGGCAACCGGAATTCTCTAGAAACCGCCGCCGTCGGGCCTCCCGGGCCGGGCCTCTTTTCGGGTCCACGAACGGGCTTTCCGGTGGGTTCGGTCGGCCCGGCCCGAACCCACAGGCTTCACAGCGATTGCAACCGGTGGTTTTTGCCCTTTCCAAAGCGATAAAAACTTTAAAACGTTGCTTATTTTGGCCAAAAAGTCAAACATATTGACTGGACTTCGAAATAATTAGGGAAAATGGCACGAATGGTCTCTAAACTTTGGCTCACTGTATAATGTGATCCCTGAATTTTTTGTACATGTTTAATTTAGTCATTGAACTATATGAAAATATTAATTGTTATCCCTAATCATGAAATAATAGAAGAACAACATTGAACATGTACCAAAAATTCAGGAACCACATTGAACAAATTAAGAAGTTTGGGGATCACATTGAACATTAAGCTAAGATTCATGGACTAAATTGCACATCAAGCTAAAGTTCGGAGATCATTTGTACCATCATCCTAGAAATTATCAAAAATCCTCTATATTGATATCTTGCCAAAAACAATATATGCACGTTTTGAAAAACTTCCGAGTGTTTCTTGTTATATAAAAATCAAATTACTTAGGCCGCATAGTTTCACAAAAGCAAAAAAAATTGAAAATGTTAAAATCATTTCGAATAGGCCGATACGAAAATCTGAATACGATATAGTTTTTAGGAAGACAAATTTTTAGTTTTGGGCGCTCGCGTGACGATGGTTGGTCGGGTGATTATCACGATTGACATGAGGTGATCGGCATTGGCCGATGGGAAAGTTAAGGCATTGAGAGCACCTAAACACTTATCGTGTCGTTTTTTTAGTACACGAAATTCATGATGATTCAACATTTCGAGAGCATTATTATAATTATATAAAAGAAAAATGGAAGTAGTTGTGAAGTAAGGTTAAGGTCAACTTGTAAGGTAAATCCAGAAATGCATGCTGAACTCCTAATGAAAAGTTTGTCCCTAGATAAACGATTTCACAGCCGTCATCACACCGCCACGAGTCACCGTCACGACACCGACCGCCAAGTTAACGACGCACAGAGCGATCGCCCCCGTTTATCGCCTCCACCGCGTGACATCCCGTGGCGATGCCACCAAAACCGCAGTAATTAAGAATTGGATTAAGTCACCAAACCTTTCATTTGAGTGATTTAAGAAAGGAGGATTCCGTACACAAGTCCTTGATAGAAAAAGATCGTTTTACAGCAAACGAGATGGAGCTTGTCAGGACGGCCCACCAGCTTTTGACCATTGGTTTTCGTCTCACTGTCCAATGCATGAACTCTGCACATACCAATCAACATGGAATGAACAAACAAAGGCAGTGCAGATTGGTGGCAATTGCTCAAGATCCTTCCAGTTTGACCGAGTGCAATGAAGCAGTGAAGCAGCACAGATCAAAGATGGAAGTCTTCAAGGCATGTGAGTATCTGCAGTTCAAGTAGTACCAGCGCTGCAAATCCAATCTGATGCAGCACAGATCGCGCTCCATTCGAATCGCCGCATCGCCCATAAAACACTTCGGCAATATGAGGAAATTCCTTGAATTATGTTTACGCTAGGCTCGAGCCGGAACAAAACTTTAACCATTACACAGCAACATAGGAAGGGCACGATGAAATCGCATGGTTTTCAACAAATCGGATCGAGAAAGACAGCAGATAAGGAGGGTAATAAAAACATAGGACTGAAAGGCATACGACTAGTGACTTTCAACCAAGAGTCATGGCTGAAAAGATCCATCTTGGACCTAAAAAGAGAAGGAATTGCTGATGATGGCATTGGCTGGCTCGCGTTTAAAAACCCGAGTCGGGATTCCCATGCCCAGAATCATCGTCGAAAACGGTTGCTATGGCTTCTGGTTGATGTCTATGTGATGACAGGAAGCGGTGGAATTGGTAGAGCGGCTAAAGCTGTCCGAAGCTGAGTCGGTACGATCTGGAGATCTCTTGCCCGGGGCATAAGGCGACGTGCTCATCGCCCTGAATACAAACAGAACTTAGGTTTAGGGCTAAAAATATCACGAATGTTTAGCTCAACCCGCTTCGATTCACATTGAACAGTGCCTATGATCAGAGACCGAATGAATGATCCAGAGAGAGTATCATCCAACAGTCTAAACCAAACATCGGCAGAAGAAATGAATTACGAGTGAAGGTTTCGGTACATAATACTGACCTTTCTTTGCGCTTCTCTAGAAATCGAGCCAAGGATGCCTTCCGAGCCTGAGGTAGAGCAACTGCGAGACAACAATTAGTTTCACCGATTTGATTCAGTCTTGAAATCAGCTGATTGGTAATTATCAGAAAGCTCCACCCAAAAGATTTAAGAGAGTGATACAACGACATACCGGCCGGAAAAATAGTTGGTCTAGCGGGTGCAAGAGAAGTTATTGCTCTTGGAGTCTCAGGTCGTCTGATGGGCGTATCATAGGCTCCCAGTGTTTTTACTCTCCTCTGATCCACATTGCTCGGAACTGCAGAAAACGAGAGCATCGACGATCTTCCGCTCCCATTGAAATCATCAACAGGCCCAGGTCTGGTGATCGGTGCAATCGGCGCTTGAATTTGAGTCAATGGAACGGTCTTAGACCCAGTTGCAGAAGAACCGTTTCCAGCCAGCAACATGATCGCCCGAGCCTAAAATCAGGCCGAAACATTTTAGGCTGCCTGTCAATTTTGGAGGCTTAAATGGTAACACTCATCGAAAGAGCAAGAGATGTACACCTTTTCTGGAGATACATCATCGTACACATAAACCGAACCGCCGAAGAAGATGGTCAACTGGGCTGGTGCTGCAGGGGATCTCGTAGCATTCCTACAAAATAAGATCACCACTTTGACCGATCATCCATTGAACTTGCAGAGTTTCTGCTCCTTGCCAAGCATCAATCAGTTCAACAAACAAGCAGGAAGAAAAAAAACTAACAGACATCTGGATCACCTAGAATCCGTGAAGCCAACAAGAGAAGTCGAAGTCAGAGGAACTGATGCAGGAGGGACAAACGTAAATCCCCCGAGAGATGGCGGTTTTACAGAGGAGCAAATCACGTTTTGCTCTGTGGATGCCGCCACATGGGACTGAAGGACCGGAGTATTTGTGGCCACTTGACTGAGGTGCTTCGGGGAAGGGAAAGTCCTCGCTTCTTGAGGCCGGGAGATCGCCTGCGCATTCAAGTGCCGCTGAGGGTAAGCCGTCGTCACATAGTAGCTTCCTGCTTGTTTGTCGCCGAACCTATTCGTCTGCAAGCCACAGGAATTCAAAATCAGTTCTATGTTCCTTCACCAACAAGAAAGGAAAAGGACCAATGAGCGAAGCAAATGCTCCAAACTCCAAGCACGGCCCAAAAGGAATGTACTATGACTCGGATGTTTATAAAAGATCAAGCGCGAGTTCAGATACTTCGGAAGCTGAAACAATCGGACCAATGCATACCTCGACATCCAACCTAGATGTGGTCATAGATCGAGATGACGCTAACGAATCGCCGGCGCTTTTCCCCAGCCCGTCATCCGACGAGGCCTTGAAAGAAAGCAGCTGAAAAGGAGCAGAGCGCTCGTTCGAAAACGACCACTGCATTCCGGGTCCGTTTAGCTCTGCACAATCAAAACATTGACGCAAAAGAAATTGTCGATCCATCCTTAAAATCACTCGTCCATACGAACAAAACAACGGAGCAACAGCTAAGAGCTTTCACCGTACCTAGCGTTTGAATCACAGAGCGAAACCGAAGCAAAGTTTTACAGATTCAACTAAACAAACCAGAACACCTTCGCAGACACCAAAACCAGAAAACTTTCCTTCAAATGCAGAGAGCGAAACGCTGGTTCTTCCTCAAGAGCTCTATTGCTCGACACGTGAGATGAGCGCATTGAGCAACAGGGGAGGGAAAAAAAGGCTAAGTTCTAGGAAAGGAGGGGGGGACGTTCAACGTAGGAGGGCATCAACCGCAATATAAAACGCGCCTTAAAAACACTGAACGTGCACCATATAAAAATTCCCAAACTTTAAGATATAATTTACACATATGATCATCACTAACCACAGCTAATGCGCAAGAAAAGCTTTTGATTAAATCAAGAATTACTAAACTAAGGCCAGACGACCCACCAAGGTGCCGCAACGTGATTGGCCAAGACGAACAAGCTGCGAACCCCTTTTTTTTCTTTTCGCGATTTTTAATGCAAGGGGGCCGTGGTCCTCTCGGCCTAGATTCATGCAAAGAAAGCTACGAACCCCGTGTTACTTTAATTTCTCCGAATTTTATATTCGATTAAACAACTCGAAAAACCCTCTTCTTCTTCTTTTTTTTATTTTCATATAGTGAGTCTTGGTACGGATGCCCGCATCTACCTAGACCGGCGCTCTATAATGCTCGTGTAAATAAGATAGAAAAAAATCATCATCATCCTCCCCCTCTTTTTTAATAATTTAACGTGATGCACAAGTGGAATTGGTTAATGCAATCATGGCCAAAGATCGAATTTTTTTAAGGGCCACAGGGATAATAATAATAATAATATCATGGAAGATTGGAACACCTGACAAGACGCGGGTTATTAAATTCCACACAAGGACCACATTAACCGAGGATGAATTCACAAGCATGCCCTCGGTTTGGGATGAGACTCACAATAATGCCATTGGGGTTCACGGTTCACCCCATCTTCCATTTTGATCTTCCTCTACTCCGCCAAAGCTGTAGCCCACGAACTTATCCTCTATTTCCCTTTACATTGGTCTTGTCCAAACATGTCATGGCTTATGCCACAACAAACCAAAAAATCTAATCTCGCGTGCATCTCCGAAAGGTAGGGTCGAACGGTAATCTAAAGTCTGTTTAATAACGTTTCTGTTTCTCTGTTTTTCTGTTCTTTTGTTCCCCGGAACAGAAAAAGAATAGAAATCCCTTTAGTAACGTCAGTTAGTTGTTTTGTTCCCCAGAATAGAAAAGTGGTCAGGGAATATATTTGGAACAAAAATAAGATGTAAAAAAAATATACTTTTCTGTTTCTAGAACAAAAAAGAGAAACAAGATCAGCCATTTCTCTTTCACAAGATATTCTTGTACTAAACCCTAAACCCCAAATCATAAACTCAAAACCCTAAACCTTAACCCTAAACCCCAAAACCTTAAACCTCAATACCCAATCCCTAAAACCCAAAACATTAAAATCAAAAACCTGAAACCCTAAAACCCGAAACCCAAATCCCTAAACCCAAACGCAAACCCTAAACCTTCTAAACCCCAAATCCTAAAACTAAAAACCCAAACCCTAAAATCTCAAACCTAAAACTCGAAACACTAAACCCTAAACGCCAAAACTCCAAACCCGAAACCCGAAAACCTAAACCCTAAAATCGTAATTGCAAACCCTAAATCGCTAAATTGCAAAACCCCGAATCCTAAACCATAAACCCCAAATTTTAAATTGTAAACCCTATACCCTAAATCCCAAACCCCAATACCCAAAACCCTAAACCACTAAATCCCAAACCCTAAACACAAACCCTTAAACCCGAAACACTAAACCCAAAATCCGAAACTCTAAAACCTAAACCCTAAACCCTAAAATCCAAAACCCTAAACCTCAAATCCTAAACCTCAAAATCGAAATCCTTAAACCCTAACACCCAAATCCTAAAATCATACACCCTAAACTGCAATTTCCTTGACCACCACCCGGTATTTGCTTTGTCTATAAGGAGTAATTTTCTTTATGATTGTATTAAGGTCATCCAATAATATATCCTTATGCTATTTATAGTCCAATTTTATCCAAACATGAATTATTAAGTCTCCACCGACAATTTTATAATTAAATGAAAAAATTGGGAGTAGAAATTTTTAGTATCCTACCAAACGCATTTCTGTTCTTTTTCTACTCTGGGAATAGAAACTTTATGTAGTTACTAAACGAGTTTTTTTCTCAGAAACTTGTCGAGAGAATAAAATAGAAAAAACTATTTCTGAACAGAAATCGTTTTTGGGAACATAAACGTTACGAAACAGACCCCTAATATGTAGAGATGGAAGGAGCGCTTTCTCTTCCGGGGAGAAATCGATAGACGACACGCCTATAAATGTGGAAGCGGGGAGTTACAAGCCCGAGCATTTACCGACCCACACTACTCGTACATTAGAAATTGTTCACGTTCATTTGCAAAGATTGGACGCGGCACGCGTAGAGTGGCGCCCACTAATTCCGGGCATTGTACACCTTTCGATTTCTTTATGTCATAATATATATTTTTTACTTCTTCAAAGCACATTAAATAAAAAACCCTAGAAAGAGTACAAATAATGCTTGCCCGATATTCTCCTTCTCGAATCATTTGCCGAAGTCAAACATCTATTGACAGAGTCAGGCCACTCTATACCCTACAAACGCAAACTGTCCATTGGCCACGGAAGGTAGATAAGAAGACAAGAGATTATTCAGTGGGTAGAGCCAAGCATCCAGCTCATATAACATATCATAAAAAATCAAACAAGCACTTCAAACTTCAAAGGGCAGAAAAACATCAGCAAGATGAATACGGGCTGACAAGAAAACAGCAAACGGCATTAAAGAAAGGCATAAATGTCAGGACGAGCTGCAGATGAAAAACAAGCGTGCCTTAATTCTCCACAGCCATAACTCTCCCCGAAAACTTAGAACTGGCGCGCGCGCGCGCTGTGCGCGCTCCGCGCACCGCTCGAACGTCCGACACGAAACCCGGAAACCGATGAAGATCAAGAAACAGCCCTAGATCGAACGAAACCGTAGGACGTGGAAAGAGGGGGAGAGGGGAGAGAGAAATGGGGGCGTGTTGTACCAGGATTCTCGTCTCCTTTCTGGGGAGGAAGCCAATCCGTCTTCAGACCCAAGCCCAGAAAATCGCCGTCCATCTTGAACTCCAGCCCCGCTCGAACTTCTCTCTCCAACCTCAGAGATGTTGAGAGAGAAACACGTTGAACATATATGACAAAGAATCTCTCCCTCTCTCTCTCTGTCTCTCTCTCTCGCGCGCGCTGCTCGCGAAAGCAAAGAAGAGATTGAATCCAACGAGGATAAGAAGAAATGAAGAGAAAGATCGGGAGGCGCAGAGCAGAGCAGAGGCAAACTGAAGTAGCGCTGCGCAGACGCCGCAGAGAGAGAGAGAGAGAGAGACGTTTTTCAAGAGGTCATTCAAAGATGTAGGGCGAGGAGGGGGGAGACCCGTTTTGACCGTACGATCGCGGGTGACCGGCTGCTCCCGGTCGCCGAGCACGTGCGGCATCTCCCGGGCGTGGGCGCCAGGGGGGTGGGGGATTCCACCGTCACCGCCACGTGGCGGGATCCCCGTGTTTCTGCGCATTTACTGGGTAAAAAATTGCAGATAAATGCAGCCCGAAAACGGAAAGAGAGAAGGGGGGAAATTCCTTTTTTTTTTTTGTTAATTCTTCGATGGAAAAAAGGAATTGAATAATTTACGAAATGCGTCGTCATCGTTTTTCACGGGAGGAAAAAATTACCAAAATTGAGAAACCCCCGTAAAATATTTTTCCGAAAAACGATTACTTATATCGTTGAGAAAAAAATTAATTAACGGAAAAAAATTTCCATCGTCAGTAACAATCTATGTATAAGTGTACAAATATTAATTCTTACAGGTCCCCCGGGTTATTTTCGACCTCAGTTCCCGCGGTGCGCGATCTTATCTTCAATTTCGTGGGCTCTCGAGTGAAGATTTTGTTTTCCATTTGAGGCCCCCCTCGATTTAAGCTTGTAGGGGTCGATGTTCTCATTTGGACGTGGCGACGCGGTCGCACTAGGGTTCCTATCTTCGTATGTTACCATGTATGTTTGTATTCTTGCCGCTCTAAATATCTCGGCCAATGATGGGATAATTTCGGAAGTTTCCTAATCAATCCCACGAAATGAGGCCTGTCTCCTCTAAGTTCTTTGCACATGGGGCTCGAGCTTCGTGTCGTTGTTATCGCTCTATTATTGACCCAAAAAATCCCGCATAATGACGGTATCGTTTTAAAGTATTTTCCCGCAAAATACGACATGTCGCCACTAAATTCTCGACACGTCGCCCTTTTTTTATGTAAGGAAAATGGAGCATATTTGAGCCATTTAACAAAATTTTTTTTTTTGGGGTAAAACATTTAACGAAGTTTCTTGAGCATAGTTTAGTCGATAAATGATCCTCTAAAATTGGTATGAGAGAGAGAGAGAGGGGGGGGGAGAAATTGGTTTTAATGACGATTTGATTAGATACATTGTATGGAGGTTTTTTTTTGGTCAAAATATATGGTATGGAGGTTACGAAAATTAAAATTTAAGAGAACTAATAGCATTTGGAGTTGCTTGGTTTAGATTGATTGAAGCTTTAATTTTCTTAAGTTTTGAGTGTTCGTAATTTGATTCTTGGAGAATCGTCGAATTTCTCTTGCTTTGTATAAATTAGGGTTTGTGGAGTTGTTGACGTGCAAAGGAAATACTACGCAGATGTCGCTAATATTATGTTCGATTCTATGAGAAAGAGATTTTTATCTTGGTGTAATGCAGTCGCGGTGATGGCAGATCTCTCAAAGTCAGGGTTTTCGTGTATTTTTTTTCTATTTTCTCCATAAATAAATAGACAGGCACGTATTTATGCTTGAAAGTCACACGCAATACGCACGTGCTGACGGAAAAGCAAGTTGTGCGTTGGTTTCGTTTCATCACTAAAAATAAATATTCAAGTGAGATACACACATATTTTATCAAAAATTCAACCCTTTTCTTTTATAATTATAAGTTGAAAAGTCGTACATCTTAAATGCAATGCGGTAGATATCAAGTATTTTTATCATACTAAACGACCGTGATATGTCGTATCGCCGATACATATTATAAACTAATTAAAATAGCCGCAGAGTCCAAAAAGCAATAAATAAATAAATATATATAATCTTAAATTAAATAAAGTAGATGGCTTGGCTAAGTTGGTGAAAAGCCCCCACAGGCACTCAAATTATTCTTCTTTTTTTTTAGGTATTGAAATTATTCATTTATTTAATCGAGTCAAAAGCGAAAATAATTCACCATGTGATGTTTTTTGAGAATATAGAAACTCGTGGGCTAGAGCATGATAAAAGGCATGCATTGAAGAGATGGCATGTGATTGGCTAGCTTTTTTTTTTAAAATAAAAATCATGATTAAAAAAAAAAAAAAAACCACGCTGGTCCCCGGGCCTGCTGTCCCGCCACTCTTTTTGTCAACTTCCATATCTTATTAATTACTTTATTTCTATGTAATGGGTAGAGAAATAAGATAAAATAAAATATTGCGATTAATTAACTAAGTGGAGAGTGGTGAAGAAGAACGGCGATTGATGATAATTTTCGCTTTTAAATGCTAAACGACGAAAATAGTGTATGGTTCCATTCAAATGCCCTCATCAAGTCTGCTATGTATATCGAATATCCTCCTCACATTCTAAAACGTAACGTTGCTATGTCAATGTTGCATTAGATTTCGAGTTGCATCTATTGTCCGTACATAATTTAACTAGTCGTTATATCCTCGCCCATATTATTTCATCCTCAATATTGGGTTTCACTTTTTCCATGTAGATTTCGACTTAGGGAAATGCAAAATGGGAAATGCAAAATGTAAGTTTCTAATTATGAGGAGGATTTTTTTACGATGATTTGAATTCAAGGGATGATTTCGAAAACCTTATTTACTTTTTATTCCGAGATCAATTCGCATCTTGAGTATTGAAAACATAATATATCCATCTCCAAATAGAAACCCCAAATCTAAATATATCCATCTACTCTCAAACTCAATCAAGCCCCAAATCATTCTCTGCTTCTCCCTCTTTCTCCCTTACCTTACGCTCTCTTGCCCTACCCTCTCTTTCTCTCACCGCTGCTCTCTCTCTCTACCATGGGTTCCCACCACCGACCCCTGCCAACATCGGACTACCATATTCCCCGGCTGAGCTCTCTCTCTCTCTCCCATGCACACACAAACACTATGCTCTCTTCTTCTCCCTCTTCTCCGCCATGGTTGACTCAACAGATTTGAGTTGAGCTCGATGTCGGTGGAGTTCGACAGATCTATCGATAAAACTCGACAGATCTATCTAGCTCAATGCAGACGGAGCTCGACAGATCCGAGTTGAGCTCAACCTTGCTGAAACTTGACAAATCCGAGTCAAGCTCGACGGGTCGTGGCTCAACTGGGGTGGCGAGTGGGAATAGCTCGGCGGTGCCAAGAGGAGAGGAGCTGAGCAATGGGTGGGTTAGGGTTTTGGGCAAGTGGATTTTCATTATGGGTGGATTTGAAATAGTGGGAGGAGCAAAACCGAAAGGTAAATGACAAATTCACAAATAGGAAGGCGCAAAGGTTGAGTGTTCAAATCCCGGGTGCCGCAGGGTGACTTAACCGGTGCACGTGTATGGTGGCTAGCACGTGTCGCCCCCAGGGTTTACCTCCCGGCCGTCGGCCGTGCGGGGTTCCCTAGGTCACCAAAAAAGAAAAAAAAAACTTGGGATAATTATCGTAAGTTTTCAACACTCAATGTGAAAATTGATCCTTTTGATATCTTACCCTCATACAATTAAATAGCATAACTTGAATTTGAGGTACTTTAGATTGAGAGACCAAACGAAAAATCTCTCTCCCTTTTAGTGAACATTGAACGGTCATAACAGTGCTTGTATCAAAACAAGGCTAGTTTTAATATTGTATAAATGTATTGCCGCGACGAGGAATTATTAAATTGCTGTCAACCCTTTTCTTTTAGGGTTAATACCACGAAAAACTCCTAGCCAGTACATCCGTGATAAATTTACCCCAAACTATTTTTTTATCACAAAAAATCTCAAACTGGTACACCTATAACAATTTTATTCCGAACTAATTTTTTTACCACCAAAAACCCTAAACCGATACACATGTGACAATTTTACCCCTAACTAATGTTTTTCCCACCAAAAATCCCAAACTAGTACACCTATGACAAATTTACCCTCCATTAGTTTCTGTTAAATTTTACTGTCTAATTACTAAATTTGATGACATGTGGTAGTTGACGGGTGTACCGGTTTGGGGTTTTACCCCTTTTTTTGTCACAAGTTTATCAATTTGTGATTTTTCGTGATATTAATTCAATTTAACGGACACTAACGGAGGGTAAATTTGTTACAAATGTACTAGTTTGGGATTTTTAGTGGTCAAAAAATTAGTTCGGGGTAAAATTGTCACAAGTGTACCGGTTTTGGGTTTTTTACTGTAAAAAAATTAGTTCGGGGTAAAATTGTCACATGTGTACCAGTGTGGGGTTTTTGGTGGTCAAAAAATTAGATCGGGGTAAAATTATCACAGATATACCGGTTTAGAGTTTTTCATGGTATTAACCCTTTCTTTTATAATTATAAGTTGAAAAGTCATACATCTAAAATGCAATGAAGTCCATACGTAAACTTCTTTATCAAGTATTTTTCTCACACTAAAATATCGCGATATGTCGTGTCGCCTATACATATTATAAACTAATTAAAATAGGCTGCGGAGTCCAAAAAGCAATAAATAAATAAATAGATATATAATTTTAAATGAAATAAAGTAGATGACAGCCACTCAAATTATTCATTTATTTAATCGAGTCAAAAGCGAAAATAATTCACCATGTGATGTTTTTTGAGAATATAGAAACTCGTGGAGTAGAGCATGATAAAAGGCATGCATTGAAGAGATGGCATGTGATTGGCTAGCTTTTTTTTTAAAATAAAAATCATGATTAAAAAAAAAAAAAAAAGCCACGCTGGTCCCCCCGGTCCTGCTGTCCCGCCAATCTTTTTGTCAACGTCCATATCTTATTAATTACTTTATTTCTATATAATGTGTAGACAAATAAGATAAAATAAAATATTGCGATTAATTAACTAAGTGGAGAGTGGTGAAGAAGAACGGCGATTGATGATAATTTTCGCTTTTAAATGCTAAATCACGAAAATCGTCTATGGTTCCGTTCAAATGTCATCGTTAAGTTTGCTCTGTATATCGAATATTCTCCTCACATTCTAAAACATATCGTTGCTACGCCAATTTTGCATTAGATTTCGAGTTGCATCTCTTGTTCGTACATAATTTA